GCACGTTCTTCAGTCGGCTAAATTTCAGTTAAACAAATGAAAAATAAAAAGTATTCGTACAGCAGAAAGTAAAATTCACCCCGTCGACTTGATGGGCACCCCAGCATTGCGTGGGGCGCCCTCCCTCTCTTCGGGTGCAGTACTACAATGACGTTGGGGTCACTGAAACCCCCAGAACTGAGCTTCTACTTCTACTTCTCCATCTAGGTAAATTCACCAGCCAATGAGAAGCCGACAGCGCAAACGTAATTCCTGACTTGCAGTCTTTTACTCGTAGGGCCACGTTTCTGCCTCAGGATTGGTTTATTCCACTTTGAAAACGTGTCGTACGTCGAAAGAGGGACAGACGTGCGATTGAGACGAGATCTGACGAAGAAAACTCCGGGGAAGACGTCTGTTGGGAGGCACTTGGGTTGTCCATATCAACCGGCAAACGTTCGCGTAAAACTCGTCAGATAAAATGTTGACAAAGTGTTTTTTACTTTGCCTTTTGGCCCTTGGGGCTTATGCAGGTGAGGAGGATGTTCTTGATCTCGGGGATGACGATTTCACCAGTAAACTCGATCAACATGAGAACACACTTGTTATGTTTTATGCACCCTGGTAAGTCCATTGGATATATCCTGTTTTCTTTCATGATCGTTTGTTGGATTGTCTTCCTTCGAAATTTCTTAATTAATCCTTGGGACTTGGAGATAATGTGATGATGAAGGTTAATGTAATTTCTTCAGGTGTGGCCATTGCAAGAGACTCAAGCCGGAGTACGCTAAAGCTGCGGAACTCCTCAGGGGTAATGATCCTCCAATCACTCTGGCCAAGGTTGACTGCACCGAAGCAGGCAAAGACACCTGCACCAAGTTCGGAGTCAGTGGTTATCCGACCTTGAAGATTTTCTCCAGGTCCGAGATGGTCAGCGAGTACAATGGGCCCAGGGAAGCTCCAGGAATCGTCAAGTTCATGCAGGTGAATATTAGAATCCAGGAAATATATTTTTCCTCCAGGGTTAATTGCACAATAAAAATATCTACCCACTGGATTCTCAGATTTTCATCCAGAAAAAATATCTTGGGGTATCTTTCGGGTGGGACGAGATGACCCCCTGAGTTATCACTGCAACGCGATAAAATGGAATTTATTTTTTTTTATGTGGGAGGGAAATATCCAATATTAAATTTTTTGTGGTGACAATTTGGGTGGAGTGAATTTTTGAAAAGCCTTTTCAGTGTATATTATTGTAATAATTTGTTGGCAGTCTCAAGTTGGACCAGCATCGAAGGAACTGAAAGGTGACGACTGTCACAAGGCCTTCCTCACAACCGACGAAGTGAGTTTAATCGGTTACTTCGAGAAGGAGAGCTCTGCCCTGAGCACCGCGTTCCAGGCCGTGGCGAAGAAGCTCCGAGAGAAGGTCCGCTTTGCCCACACCTACGCAAAATCCCTCATCGAAAAAGAGGGTCTCACCGATCACATTGTTCTCTACCGTCCAAAGGCCCTCCAAAACAAATTCGAGCCGAACACTGTCAAATTCGAGGGCAAAGACTCGATCGCAGACATCAACGATTTTATCGCGAAGAATTACTTTGGTCTAGTGGGTGTACGCACCCGCGATAATGCTGGACAGTTTGAAAATCCTCTCGTCGTTGCTTATTACGCGGTCGACTACGTTAAGAACCCGAAGGGCACCAATTACTGGAGGAATCGAGTAATTAAAATTGGAAAAGAATTCCCAGAGGTGAACTTTGCTATTTCCAATAAGGATGACTTCCAGCACGAATTAAACGACTTTGGAATAGAGTTCGCAAAGGGTGAGAAACCAGTTGTGTTGGCCCGTGATGCCAAAAACCAGAAATTCATACTCAAGGATGAATTCTCGGTTGAATCGTTGGAAAAATTCGTGAAGGACTTTGTGGCTGGAAAATTGGAGCCATTCCTCAAGTCTGAACCTATCCCAGAAGATAATTCTGGAAATGTCAAGGTTGCTGTTGCTAAAAACTTCGAGGAACTCATTTCAAACGCCGACTCTGACATTCTCATCGAGTTCTACGCTCCATGGTGCGGTCACTGCAAGAAATTGGCACCAATCTTCGATGAATTGGGTGACAAACTTGCTAAGGAGGACGTTATCATTGCCAAGATGGATGCCACTGCGAATGATGTACCTCCACAATTCGAGGTTCGAGGTTTTCCAACATTATTCTGGATCCCCAAGAATTCCAAGGACTCGCCGGTGAAGTACGAGGGTGGCAGAGAACTCGAGGACTTTGTCAAGTACATCGCCAAACATTCGACTGAATCCCTCAAGGGATACGATCGCAAGGGCAATCCTGTCAAGACTCCAAGTGATGAGTTGTAAAAATCATCGTGCTCTTCGTTCAAACATTCAATAATTTCTCCTTTTTTTAAAACTCATTTACCGGAAGTTTTATCTAATGAATATATGCCAAATTTGATTGCCTTCTGAGTGACATTTCACTCCACTCCGATCCCCCACTTTCCATTTCATTGCCAGAGGTTGAATAATTAATACCGTTATCCCAGGAATAAACTCGACAAGCACAAGACGATTGAGATGTGTAATTATGGTTGTGTCAAAGGAGATTTGAGTACTCTGCTGTGGACGGAGATTATGTTCCATTCCGGTATACATTTGTCGATTTAAGTAAGAATAGATTTAAGAAAGTATGAATTTCGTTTATACGAACATGAATAAATGGGCGGAAGTAATTTTTTTACTTGGAAAGTTATTTTCCCAATAAATGTAAAATTGAATAATTCAAAGTTTATTGTTTTTTTTTATCACAAACTACTGTTGACTGATGAATATGAAAATTGACACGATAACGACTAATCCTGCAATTTCCCCGTAAAATGATACATTAGGGAATTTGTAATGCTCGTATTTGGCGAACTTGACTAGAACCCCAAAAGTCATAAAATACCGCCACCTGGTGTTCACGAAAATAATTGAGGAAAACTGGGGTATTTTCCGTTTTATAACATCTCATTGGCTCACGATTTTCCGTCACTCTCCAACCGCATCTCTGTGTGATATCTTCTGTACAGGAAGTCGATGAGTGTTTGTAAAACTGAAAACGACCACATGCAGAGAGTCCCTGGCCATAGACCACGTCGGAGCTGTTGTTGTGTGGAGTTGGGAGGCGTAAAAACATTTCGTCTTATATTTTCAAGTACTTGTTGGTCGGAGGTCAAGGCTGAAATAAAAACATGACCCGTAAGTCTTTGACAATTCATTGATTTTTCATTCCAGATGAGAGAATTCAATCAGAACCTCTGGATATTTTTCGGGGAAGCCACTCCACTCATAATCTTTCGCTTAATGGATATTTGCATTGTTTTCATTATTTCTCCGCGCTTTTTGTTTTGTTATATCCATACTCGGCCCTCCTTCATAGAAATATCTCATTTTTTAATTTTCTTTTCCTTTTAAAATCTCCAAAATTTAATATTACATTTTTATTTTCAATGACCTCCATATTTACGAGTTCTGCACGTTGGAATTTCTGCCAACAGATTCCGTCCACAACTTCGATTAAATGCCTTGCTCCAGGTTTTCCCCAAAAACGCGTAGAATAGTCCTTTTATTTACCTTTGGTTTCTAGTTTACATACCAGTACGATTTTCTTCCGAGTGAAATGACCTTTTATTTTGGGCTCTGACTATATTTAGGTCAACGGGTGCTTGTTGTGATACACTCTGACAAAAGTATTTCAACCGAGCGAGCGAAATCAAAACATTTAAATTTGTAAACATCGCAGCAGACTCAATGAATATGTTTTTATAAGCAGATGGCTTACCCAAAACAATTCAATGGAATTTCTGTATTTCTTTCCTACATTCACAGGTGGAAATCAGCGTGACTTAGCTCGTGCTAAGAATATGAAAAAGACTGTGAAGAAAGCTGCTGGAGAACAGGATAGTAACAAAGGGCTTACACTGGAGCAACGAAAACAACGGTATGATTAAATAATTGGTCTTGTCTGGGTTAGAAAGTCTTTATTCATTCGAGGAATTTCACGTGATTTTTCAGTGACGCAGAGAGAATGAGAGAGAAGCAACTGAAGAAAGCACAGGATGAACAGGGTAGCATGAAGCAACAAGGAGTTCGGTAATGATTTATAATAATGTACTAATTATAACACCAAGTTATACAACGTTGAAATTGACAAAGTACACCGCGTTAAAAAGTCACGAAAAAGTGATAAATTGCATTGACATATACACGTAATAGTAAAGAATTAAACTTTGTTACATGAAATTTTTGGGATTTTTTTTTCCACATGGAAAATTCGTGTATCATCAATCATAGCTAGCCATACATACCCATTGATTAAATATTATCAATATCGCTCACCTGAAATAAATAGCCAATTTGTATTAGCTAAAATAATTGCATCATTCAATATACGAGAGTGACGGGATGATGAATCATTGCGATCAGTGATAAAACTCGCCCAACAGCTGTAAAATAGCGTTAAGATAGAATATTAATTACTGTAATTTTAAAAACCTAGATAAATTAACTTTTTAACATTTAAAATAAAATATTGTCGTGTAATTAGTAGGAGCAATCTGCGGAGCATATTCGCTTGTGTAATAAACCCATCAAAATTTTCATATCATATTATTATATTTTTTTCTTATTGATTCAACCTAATAAGGAAGGAGAGACGTTTTGACATTTTCCAATAATTTTATTGCACTTTCCCAAAAGAAAAACAAGAGTACATTCGGAATTTTGCGTCTTGACAACAAACCTCAAGTTCCAGTATTTCTTGTTATTCGTCAGTCATCGAATACATCGTGAAAATAAAATGGGAAAGAAAATATTCAAAGTTGAAATATAAATAGTCGTATCATTTCTCACGGTACTTTAAATCGATTAACACAGACCAAAGATCTTTACCCCTAATACAGTATAATTGGATTTGCTACGTGTTTAAATTCAAATGGCTCATCACAAACGCTTGCACTTTCGTTTTTCCTTTAATCCCCTGATGACTCCACTCTTGATACGAGTGAAGAGCTGATGCAAATAAACACTTGGTCAAAATAAATTCTAAATGATTTATTTACAAGTTTAATCGAGAGTCTACGAAAATAAAATTCAAAAAATACGCAGTTAATTTTCATTTGTCAACATTCAGCTTTTGATTAACGTCGCTAACAAGCCACAGGAACTCGATGTCTAAATTTTATTCATTTGATCCATAAAATTTTCCAACTTACAACCAAATGGCAAGAAATTTCTTTTCGTATACATGATTCTCCCATACATTTCATTCCCTTGTCGTATACTGTCAGTCGTATTGTATTCATTATAACAATAACAATGCGCGTTCAATTGGCAGATAATTGTGAAGTATTTATTATAAAAAATTAGGGAGGAATGTTGTAATCTGCATTGCTTGAATGGACTTGAATCTTCAGAGACTCGGGGAGAGACAAGAAAACAGTAAAATAATTATATTCCTATCGGTCTGAATCAATTGGAGTTTTGCATGACATCCTCTCGCTATAATAAACCAGAGTATCAAAAATGATAATTAATACGATTTTCTGTGGAGAAATAATAACAAAAACGAAAGTAGGATTTTATTTTTAATTAATTTCTAATATTTTATCCTCATTTGAAAAATTGTCTGCAAAACACCAATTGCTATTGTAAATTATTGCGTTGGAGCTTAGCAACTACAATTTTTCTCATCATTATAGCACCATTGCTTTGTCTATCAAACAAAACTGCAACAAAATATTGAATGATCACAAGAAATATCCACTGTGGAAATAATCAAAGAATCACTTCCAAAAGCAAAAAGAGAGCGAGGAATGCAACTGGAGGAAGTACTTTGTGAGAATAGTTATTGGGGAATGTACGAGCTATGAATAATCAGGGAATAAAGTAGTAATAACGATGAAATAGAGACCACCGACGCTTGTTTAACTAAAGATTGAGAGAGCATATGGAGCAGGATTGTGTGATGCAGTGGGCGTAGTGGCGGGATTGATGGTGATGATGATGATGATTTTGCGTCGGTGGTTGAACCGGTGGCTGGACGTACAACCAGCTTGGTGGACTCGCTGGCCAACCGACGGTTGCACGAGGACGAGCTGGTGATGGGGCTATTGCATGACACTGGCTTGACCCACACTCACGAGAATTCCCTCCTAATCCACCCTCTACTCACATGACCTGAAATTAAAAACCCCCCTTAAACATCGTACCTCAACATATTTATTCAAAATATGCGATCGATTCCCCTTGTCTAGAAATTATTTCCCATAAAATATTCAATTCACCTGTAAAATTTGACTAGCCTCGAAAGCCGTGCCCGGAAGGAGCATGACGGGGCTACTGACATGTCCGCTCTCAACGCAAATCATATTAGGAAATTCATCATCCCCAAAGTCAGGAATATCCCTGGCCTTCTCCTGCCACGGATTCCAAATGACAGTATCGGGAAAATTGTACTTCTGCACCCGCATTTTTCGTCCAGATACGACATTGGTAATAATATGCTCAGGCTGAGTGTTCTGATAAATTCTGTCAGTCCACTCTCGAACCGTCACAACATCCAAGCCCTCTTGGAATATCTGATTGTCCCTCGTCTACAAAAAAAAAATACATTGAGTCACTCCATGCGATATCCTCTTTAATTACCCATTCCGTAATTTACGTAATTGCTGAATGTCAGGGGAAAAATCAATGGGTGATAATTTACTATTAATTGAGTACCTTGTCGATGAAAGTGCAACCGTGGAGGCCAGTTATCTGACATCGTCTCACATCAGGAACCTTGAAGTACGTGTGTAGTAACAAGTTGAAGCTGAACGTGTGCTCTTTGCTCGGATTGTAAACACCGATATTAAAATGTAATTCTTTCTCACGTAGTATCAGTCTGTAGGTTAAACGGAATGGATAATTCCACATAGAGCGAGTGAACTCGTTGTCCATTATTGAGAATATTGCCTCGACATCACCACTTGGCATTCGTTCCGGTGCCTTTTCCACGTTCCAACGCATAATTCGAGCGAAACCGTGACCTGGACCAAAGGTCCACGCTCCAAAATGCGCTACACGTCCAATTAAAAATATCAATTAAAAACGAGAGATATTACACAGAGCGAGGGATGTGCGTAGACTCCAAGAAGAGACTTGATTAATGAAAATAATTTACAAGATGATAAACAAAAATAATATTGGGATATCGCGTGTCTCGGTTCGCTTCCTCTACTTACGAAAGACAAATGGAATTCCACCTCTAATGGCCTTCTTCCCGTCGAACACCGCTTGCTTACTGAAACACGAGAGCAAAAAAAAAAAGAACGTGTTAAAAAAAAAATTTGCTAGGAGAATAATCGAACATGACTATTGGACAAACATATCTGACCAGTGTACATGATAATCGATATTGAATTCACCTCCTTAAACCCTCAAACGAGATGAAATGAAGGGGATGTTGGTGGAAGACAATGGCTGAAAACAAAGTGTATCCTGTTGTCCCTCCGATGAGTTTATTTCAACCTCCCATCACTCTCCTCTCATCCTCTCCTTTCTCTTTCTTCGTCGTATCTCTTTTATTCTTCCACTGATTTTTTTTTCTCCATCTCTACCGCTTTCTCTACTCTCATTCTCTCATTCCACCTTCGCACAGAAAATAAGGGGGATAGGGTGAAAAAAAAAACGAGGGGAGAGAGTGGGGTAACTCTCTCGCATTCGTCTCCAACCCGCGCGTTTCCACTCATCTCTTTTTCCTACCTTCAAACCCCTTTTTTGCTGTCTCTGTTTTCTCCTGATGAGCACACATTCTCCTCTTCTATTCTCCCCTCGGATATACAGGTATATAACGTCGAAATGATGCAAAAGAACTGGACAATTCTCGGTAACCAAATATTTTACGACAAACCTTAAAACAATTTCAGGGCTCGGTAGGTGAATTCTTTATCAATCAATCGTACATTCTTTTTGTGAATTCATCATTGGTTTTCAACGCGAGAGGGTGAGTCTGCAAAGACTGCAACCCTTTCACGAATATTTTACAATCTATTAAATTGCAGATTGAATGATCTTTGAAAATCATTCACAGCATTTTCATGGAATTTAGACAGTGGTATTTTGGCGGTGGAAAAAAATTAAAGTTTCATTCCATCGATCGATCCTGCTTGACGATCACTATCCTGAGGGGGCAAAAAAAGGGTGGAAGGGAGGAAAAGGGTGGAGAGGGAGGAGAGGGAGGAAGGGGAGGAAGGGGAGGAAAGGGTGAGAGAGTGAGTTGGCAGGGATTGTTTGTCCCTGTGATGGTGTGGAGAAAGGATGAGGGGAGTGAAGCTGCAGGCGATGGTGTGGTGGTGCGGTGATGGTAGGAAAGGCGGCTGACGCCCAACAAAAACTATCGCCGCTGTCTGGTGTGCTTTTTGTGGGCATCACACAGTTCCCAACCACCTTCCTCTCCTTCCACTTCGTTTCTCATCCACCAGCATCCATCGTCATATGTATACTTGCTTTTCTTCGTTCCTTGCAACCCGCATTACGCGTTTACTTGCCCAACACATTCAGCAAGGGCTATTTTACTCAGTTTTTTATCATCACTACAATCTGCCGAGAGATATCACATTTTTTTACACTTCCGATGAGTCTCTGATATTCGAGAATTTTACAGGTCGATTCATTCATTTATTATTGACAATTGTAAAATTATTCAGGAATTTTTGAAATTTTTAGGAAATACCGCGGGCAGTGGCGCAGTCTCAGGATTGTAAATAAAATTTTTGAAACAAAGTCTTGGACTTCTGCTCTGGAAGAATAAAAGACACACGAAAAATTTTAATTCGGGGATTCCTCGGCTCCCGATTTCACGGCTACCAGCCAATCCTCCGGTTCTCCAATTTCACTCTTCCCTCTGTTCCATCATCCCGTGAAAATCACACCGGATCTTCGGTTCATTGGAGCCATGCCTCATGTATTTATATCCAACCACAAGCAATTCCATTGAAACCAATAAAATTTTCCAATCATCACGTTTTTATCTGTATCTGAAAGTCCGACTATCCAGAAGAAATGAATTTCTGATAATTACTATTAAAATAAAAATGATAAGGATGACTTAAAACACCCCGCGGATTTCGTCTTTGAACCGCGAATAATTCCAACAATTTTCTATTCACTGTTTTTCGTTCGCTGGTGCAAACAGCCGTGCCATAAAAATTGCAACAAAGGGATCACATAGAGGGGGTGAAGGGGGAGGAGTGGAAAATGTGTAACGATGTAAAAGTGTTCATGTTGACGACACAGCCACCCGGTACGTTGAAAGGGCAGAAGAGAGACGAATATAGTTGGTAGCCAACGGTTTTTGCGATTAGCCGGGCTCTGGACTGCGGTTATACCGGGTTTCAACCTCTCCACCCACCACCCACAATCCACCACCCTCTCACTAACGCTTGTCTCCGTTTTCTCCCCTTCGAACGATGATCCGCAACCCCTGTTCACCAAAGTCACTGGCAAACTTTGTTTATCCAAAGTCAGCAAGAAACAATGGAATGGACGTAGGTTACTACCCTATTTATTCATCCCTCCACGTTTATTCCATCCCTTACTGGCATCACCCCCGCGCCCTGAGAAACGAGAGAGTTGAAACTTTATAAACCCCCAATCTCCATCCACCATTCACCCACAGTCTGTATCAATTTCGTAATTAATCAAGCACAACTCCAAACTTTAATTAGTTTAGACTTGATTAAAATTGAAAATACTCTCAACTGGAATAATATTTCCAGGAGAAATCCGTGGGAAGTTTGACAATTTTAAATCTTGTACAAAAAAAATAGCCAAGAGGAAATTACTAAAACGTGCAAAAAATATAATTAGAGGAAGTTTTCCAAGTTTGACGGCTCGAGAAAAAATGTAGGAGTGATTAAAACGAAAATTTAATTCACAACGTAAAAATCTCTGTTGAAAACGAAGAGCTCATCATTCCGATGGAATTCCCAGTCTCTTCAACCCACTCGTAGTTTCAACTGACGGTGTAAGACACAAAAATGTACAACGTACTCTCAGCAATAAGCCATCTCAAAATCACCTCGTTAGTTTCGTTATCGCCGCGAGGCGTTAGCCTCCCTTGACAATGCCCTCTCATCTCTCATACTCTCTCATACTCCGGTAATTCTTTTCTCCATTTCTTTATCGGTACCCGTTGTAATTTCATCTCCCGAGAAAAATCCCAAGTGGGGTCAATGCATTAATTTTTACTCCCCGCTCATTCAGTTCTCCACGTCCATCGCAGATTAGTACACGTCATGCTGATAAATTATTTGGAACAAAAATTATTGTAAATCGAAATTCTAACTGAAAACCCGGAAAAATCAAGCGACTCAAAAAATTGACTTGAGTCAATCAATTAATTAATTAATTAATCCCAGCGAGGCGATGAGTAATTTTATTATAAAATAAATGGATTACCGATGTTATTCAGTCTGACTCAGATCAATTATAAATTATAAAATAAATTTTTAAAAATTGCTGAGACCTGCTGAGACCTGCGAGAAACTCGGAAGAATCTCTTCCCCTCAGATTCAAAGATATTCATCAACAAGTCGTCTTATCCAGCTTCACCACTTCACTAAATTCGGACAGTATTCTCTTTATTCGTAAAGCTCGATTCAATGCCCGAGCTCCAGGAATAATATTTATCTTTGAAATATGTACCGCACGTGTTGGTGGGGAGGTGGCAAGTGGTCCAGGGTTTGAGCAACCGGGCAACGTTCCCACGTGTACTCCACGTGTTGGGCATTTTCACAGAATGATATCTGCCCAGAGTGGCAATAATTTTTGACGATTCCAGGACAACTAAAATACCGGGATGGAAACATCATACGATGTTCCACCCGGTATAGCATTGGTGTACGTTGGGCTATAAGCTTCGCCAGAGAGAGACCGTAGACTAATGATCCCGGTGGCTGGAGCGCTTTTTGCTGGCATTCTACAGCATTCCCTTTCAACTCCAGGACTCCTTGCTCTCCCTCCATTCTCATCTCTCCTCTTCCTCATCTTCCCTCCGCCCCTTTATTTCTCAACGTCGGACAACGCACCTTACTCCTCAAGGATATACCCTGTTAGATATTTCTTGAAATTTCATTTCATTTCATTCACCAATTTCCCATCCACTCGCATTAAAAATCAAAAATTCAAAAGTCTTTGCTAAAAAAAAAATCGATTGAAAATGGCATACATTTTTTTTTCGCAGCAATTTTAACTCAGATTTTTTCAGGGTCATTTTATCGTGTAGTTATAGTGTCGTGTAGTGGTACTGGATAATAATTGCGTATGAAATATTGGGGATTGGTTTTAGTTTCGGTTGGGTAAAATCGTACGGTTTCAAGAGTCTCAAGTGAATTTCTGAGCTCTCTCCTCTCGACACCGACAAAAACGAGGGACGCCGACGACGACGAATAGGACGAACGCCAGGCGCTCTCTGTGCAGCATCATTAGTCCTCCATCTCACTCATCCCTTCTTCCCCCACACACGTACACAGCATTAAAAAAAAAACTGACAAGTGAGGCAGCTCAAACGAATGAGAATTCCATTTAATTAAAAAGCCCAGCGTCAAATCGAGATGCAATAAGTATTTTATTTACCCCGAATCTAGTCATTCAATTTCGCTTAGTTTTGTCTCAGTTGAAAATTTATTGGGATTTTATCGAGCTAGAGGACGAGTTCTCGATGTGTGTGTAGGTGTCCTTTGAATTCGTCTTTCGTCCTCAGCTACCCCTTTTTGTTCAGATAAATCGCTTGGCTGTCGCCGATGTCTCTCTGTCCCGTTTTTCCTAGCGAGGGATTCAAAAGGAAAAAAAAACCAACGGATCACTTCGTGATTACGTCCGGGACACTATCCGCTTTTTCAAGGGGCTTTCCATCATACAGAAGCTTTTAAATTTGGTGGTAAATTTTGTAATTCGGGTTCAAGGGGAGATTGCTCGATAACAGATATGAAGCAGGAGAGTGTAACGAGTCGAGCATTTGTGAGTTGGTACTATATAGTTATATGTCAATAGTGATGAGGTCAACCAATTCGAAGCGAGTTCAGGCTGAAGTCACTTCTTCACAATTGATTCAAGAATTCCTTGCTTTCATTGAAAAAATAATCTCAGCCCTTTACTAACGCTTTTCAATAAGTTATTTCACTCTTCCCATTTCAAGCAGAAAAAACCACTGAGTCATCGTATAAAATCGGTAATTACTGAGTTAATGTAATATTTAATAAGGCAGATTGGAATAATTCTCACGTTAAAGAACACTTCCTCCAGATAATAATGAGCAATCGTTATTTAATATTCAAGCTATGTAAATTTAATATAAGTCATCCTTTTCCCTGACATCAAAACATCTATTTAATTAAAAATCAATTGGATATATAGGGGTGTCTGGAATGCTGATCTACTGGAGAACTCGCCCTATACATCAACCCCAAATGAAATCGACTCAGCAAATTCTCACAGTACTAATCCTAACACTGATACTTATGATAATTCAAAGGGTTTGAGAAAAAGGGGCTTTGGAATTTATTCCACAGATGGATTTCTGCTCAACTTTGATTGTAATGGTAATAAAAAGCCTCGGAATTTCTGGTCGTTTTCTGTATTGTTTGAGCGTAAAGAAAAAGGAATGAGGGGTATGGGTTCACTGGAGTTTCTGTGTACTCCGTACGCATGTGAATGAGACGGGAAACTCGCCCTGGCACATGTGTATTCTCAAACTGAAGGGGAAATGTCTAGTGATGTAGATGCAGATGAAAAAAAATAGCCGTTAACGGCTGCCAGTGTTTTTTTTTTCCTTTCCTTCATCGTTTTTCCCCTCTTTTCTCCCACTGATATAATTTTACTGCAATTTACGTCTCTCTCGGAAGCGATACTTGTCACACCCCCTCTCAACTCGCTCTAAGTAATTTTAATTCAATTTTTTATAGCTGAAATTAATTCATAAACCGATGTAACTTTATTCGCACGCAATTTTCATATCTCAACGGGAAAAGCGAAGTTGAGAAGGATTTTTCGTGAGTACTTTTTGGGTCTTCATTGAGTGATGAATTTCAATTTCACATTTGACGTTTGAATATTCACTCACCTGACGAACAGCTGTTCCTGATTGTTCACCCTCCAGGAGACAACGGTGGCGCCTGCAACAAAATCGAAAAAAGTTAAATGCAAATTCGCGGGGCTCATGTCATCCAAAAAAGAACGCCATTTTTTGCAACTCAAATGAGAAAAAAAATTGGGACAAAAAAGTTGGAACCCTGTGCTAGTTAGCAATTCCACCGCATCGTCATGCGCATACACAATGCATGCACATAAACCGAAGCCGGTAACCGCGCCACAATTTTTTTTCGTATTTATCTCTGTCATCCGACTGAACCAATCACCGTTCTTTCTCCGAAACGACTGCACACTCCCGACAACTATTTGCATAACTGCGTTAACCATTATTACCGATAACAAGTGATAACGCTCCCAACGAAAAAAAAAAATCCCCCGGAAAATTCAACTGCAAGTTTTCACCCGGATCCACGTGGGTTTTGCGGGAGAATCCCGCGCTCTTCGCCCTTTTCACTGACCGCCGATATTAAAACCAATGACGAAGAAATTCCAACGATAAAATAGCCATCAGAATCTCCACTGAATAAATTCGGAACGACTCCAGGGAAAAATATTCAACTCAAAGTTCAGGGTCTAGAGCACTCAAACACTCGTTAGGAAATCTAAAGTACAAAAAAAAACGAGTGCAAAGAGGATAAATAAATTGATGACGTCAGACACATAATTCACACTGGTAAATTGAATGGGGGGATATTTAATTGAAATAAATGTATGTCGCACACACCGTGTAAGTTGATTGTGCAGGTGGTATTGTTGCCCCTGTCGAGTACGACAACGCTGGTAGCCGCTGCCATGTTTGAATCACGAATGGGCCGCCACTCGGCTCCTCTGCCCCTCGGATGTTGAGGAGATTTTAACTCTCACACCAAACCCACCAAACCGCGCAGCTCGACCTTTGTTCAATCCTACCTATCCCCTCCAACGTTACAACCAAAACAACACGATCATCATTAACGATAGTCCCGCCACCCTCTTCGAATTATCTCTAACGTTCCCACTTACCAGCTGATCTCTTATCTCCATTCACCCTCCAATTGTCCACCTACTGGCGCCATCCCCCAGGAGTTTAATCAACCATGCGGGATTCCAGCGGGATCACTCAAACCTCCAGAACTCAGCCTCAACTTTAGTCAATCCTCTTTAGGTAAGTCCACGTGTACCAGATAAATTTCCTTCTTTTATCGTTTACTTCTTTACCTTCTCCTCATCCCTGAATAATTGCCAACATTTTGCTACCCCCAAACCCCAGAAAAAAAATTTTCCATAAATAATAATTTGAAAATTTCCATGGTTTCCAAAATAATTCCCAAATTTTCCCGATTTCTTCTCGATTTTGTTTCACCTGTCTTACCCTTCCGGTCATTCAAGATATTTCGAGATGGATTTACTTTTCCCTCTTTATATATTGATGATATCGGAAAATTAATATAATGTAATATATAATATATTGGGATATTGAATTTCGAAATGCAGAAGCGAAGGGAGTAGCGCCACGGAAAGAGGAAAAACTACCGGAGTGCTGTCAATGTACTCCACGGGGCATATCGTGATACATATGTATTTATATGTAGCTGTAGTTGGATTGGTGGGGAAAGTATGTACTGGAGGCGGCGCCTGAGAAAATACGGCGCAGCAGCGGCGCAAAACGTCAAAACGGCAAAACGGAGCAAATGGCGAGTGGCTCTTCCAAGTCTGACACAGGGAATACGCGATAGTGAGCTGGATCGGTAAATGAGACAGACTGTTGTCTCTCCAGGTTGAAAAATACAGGTACAATAAATCCCGGTGATGCTTGATGCGTGAAGTACTCTCAGTGACACTCCATGCATAGAGACATTATCATTGTTTATATTTTTTTTCAAACCGATGGCGCACCACCAATGACGAAAGTTCATTCGAAATTATACCGGAGTGGAGAATTGGTTTAGTGTTTTCCTCGGACTATGCATCGTCGGGTTTATTCGTACGAGGGATCCGTAGTCACGTCGATAGTCGATACCCTGGGCTTCGGAGAGTAACACAGTGGCCCGGTCGCGTGTCCTCGTTGTCAAACCAACGGCCCTCAAACCTCCCAACTTCCTCCCAACTTCCCTACCATAACACCCACATCATCAAATTCAAAGTCTTCATTCCTGTCATCCTCATCTGTGTTTCTTTTATTTTTTTTTTCTCTACTCTTTACGTCTAGTTTTATTGTTTTATATTCTTGTGATCAAGTGTGTGGTGCTGCGGTGGAGTGAGGGATGAGGGCCGGGGGGATAATTCGGGTGACGACTTCAGGGCAGAAATGTTGAAGTTTGGCAGTAAAAACGACGTTACTGTGGTGCATCGCGCCACTATTCGATTACTCGACGACGCCGAAATTATCCACTGTGACTTTCAGGTAAAAAACCACTATCACTTATCACTTTTTTATTCGGCTCAGAGCACTGGCTCCGGCATCACGGTCTTCAAAGATCAAGGAGAATGCCTGATTCGAGGAGTGGAGGAGAGCCTGTTTGACAGCCACTTTGACAACGTGTTTTTACATCGTCAATATTTTTTTTGACTACCGGACGTTTCAACTGAGCAATTTGCGTCGACGATAAAATCCAGCGATAAATTATTTTCATTTTTCACACATCTGCGATTATAATTAATGCACATATCTTCTGCACCTGACAGATCGTGCATCAGACACGTTAGAAAGGGAATACCAAATGCTCAAAGATTTTTCCATTGTGAGCAAAACCTAATATCTCATTTCGTCCTCAGGATTATCGTCGTCTTATTCAATTCCAGTGACAATTTCAGGCAATTTGGTGGCTGGTAAAAAGCTTGAGCTTTATATCGTATTGGAGAATCTGTGAGAGAGAATCGATCTTTCAGAATGAACGTGGAATGAGTGAAGAGACAAACACAAAGGATAAAAGAACAGGGCGATATATTGCATCGGGATGACAGTCCAGTTGATTTGTTATTTTATGATATTCTTTGTTCCCTTGATCGTTTCCCCTACGTTTACACTTTGGCCGCTCCTGGAAATGTGGGACAAGGCTTTTATTTTTGGCACAATTCTCGGGACGACCCTGCGATCTCATCCCAAAGGGGATGAAACTCTCACCTCCCCACTTTACCCATTCCCCTAACTTTTTTATCCCTCAAGGCTCCTTCACTCCATCGCTGTCGTTTTATTTCAATGGGTTTTCCACTGTGCCAGAATTCCGGCACTCGATCACAATCGTATTAACACCCACGAGAGGTCCACTCCGGATGCACTGATTGGCTGCTTCCATATGCTGATTAAAATTCAACTCTGGAAAAATCCCCTTTCCTTTCGATAAACTCAGATCTTTCACGTCTAACGCAAATATCAATTGACTTTCGAAGAATTGAGAAATTCTTTCCATGACGGTATGCAATTTTTAAATAATTAATGATGGATGGGCGTGCACGTAATTATACCGAAAGCCAGGGATCACTAATGGGATTCACCTGTCTGCCAGTGACACCCGCATTGTTATACGCACGGATCTGGACAGCTTCGGCGATTAAAAGTTGATTAAAACAGCTACTATATGCTGATTGAGCACTGGATTAATTACGCGCTCATTTTTCGAGTCATTAATGACCACCCGCTAACGATATCGGAGAGGGATGACGCCTGCGGGGATATTTTTAATGCAATACGCGATTAATTTTTGTTTACTGGATTTACCCTGGATTCATTTCAACACAAGCAAAAAAATATATATATGGCTATACAATAGATATTTTCCAGCGACGAATTAACTTCTCCCAATTCCAGGGCTTGATTAAACCACCCCGTGATGAAAGTTAGTGAATAAATTTGTCAGGAACAATTGAAACTTTAGAAAAATCTCCATTCACGTGGAATACTGTGGAAATGGTACCGGAAAAGGTCAGAGGGTAGGAAATGTCCGAAAGGAATGAGACAGGGGGTAGGAAAAATGGGAATCCACACATTATACATAAATGGAGAATTCCCAGAGAGGGAATAGAATCAAGGTCTATGGCCGTGTGGTATAAATACATATGCATGTACATGCATATGGATGACAACGGAGAATATACCCTGTTTTGGAGTCACGACAGTGAGCCATCCCTTTTCGTTCAATTGTGTCAACTGTGGAGGAGACTCTAGGTCTCCTTGGCCTCCCTATTTGTTTATTAACGTGCGTGCGTCGATCGTCCATTAAAAAAAGCTCATGCATACACAATTATTGTGCTCCCCCTCATGGTGCTATCAACATTGTGGCCACCTGCATGGCGTTGTATTTATTGATAATGCCAGAGACTTCAATCGAAACAAAAACTCGTCAGTTCGATACCTACAATTTTATTAATACCTTTTTTTTTTTGCACTTGCTTTTTTATCAACAGACGGAAGTGGAATCCTGTCACGTATTGAAACTGAGACACGTTCTGATACGAGAGGAATAAAAAAATACGTTTGAGCTTACGAACACATCCCGGGGTTTATTTTTACAGAATCTTTTCATTTTTATTTTCTCGGTTTAATGATATTTTTTTTCAGCTCATGCTGAATGAAGGCTCTTCTGGAGTGATTAGAGTGATTAAGAATAAAAAGGTGGAGTACACGGTCACGCGGTCATCCGAGATCATTTCATTTTTCCGCAATATGTGCCAATTCATGTTCTTCGGGGTAGAGAGACTCGTTTTAATTCATAATAATTCATCTAGAATATAGTTTTCATTCTACTCTTTAATGTTTTTCAGGCGTGTTAACCTACTTACCCTTATTTTCTTCATCTCCCTTCGCAGCTGGAGCTTGCCATTTTACGCCTCTTAATTTCATTTCCCATGTACTCCCTTTTTTTTATTATTCTCATTTTATTTTTATTTTTCAGCCCCAGCACAAAGGAAGGTACATACTCGAGTATGTGTGCAAACAACTCAACATCATCGAGACGGATTACTTTGGGCTGCGTTACGTGGACCACTGCAGGCAGAGGGTGAGTGGAAAAGTTTTAACCTGGAGAACTTGTGGGGAATTCATTTGAACAGAGTGGATTCAATAGGGAATAACATTGATTCAAGACGAGTTCAGACGTAATAATTTTGCTTCGCACAGATTTGATAACATTTCGGGGAATTGGAAATGTGGGGAAATTATTTCCCTGTGTATAAATATTATCGCATGAGATGGGAAATTTAATCAATTGCTGGACCACAGAAAATTCACCCAAATTCATTGACAGACTGTTCTATTTTTAGATCTGGTTATTGACTCGGTCTCGATTATTGAATTGACTCATTCAACATTGGACACTGCGCGGAAAAAAAATTGTAATTGAACTTCAACTAGTGAATTATTCCATGCGTTTAATTAAATTGATGAACCTCGCAGTTGACTAGAATTCTGTTTTTTCCTTAAAAAGAAGGGAAATGTAATTTTTCACCGAGCCATTTTATCGCCAGGGGTTTCCTACTAGCGTATGGTTAATGAGGTTCCGTTGATTGAATTGAGTGAGCGGTTCGCTCGTTCACTGAATTAATCCTTGATATAAAAAAAATCCATATTTGAGCATGTGATTAAAGCGGTGTTATTTTTAGCATTGGCTGGACCTGGCTAAAACAGCGATCAAGCAAGTAAAAGGTATGTACACCCATTTAACAAGCACTCTCATTTTATTGATTCAAAGTATGACAATGCACTCTATAATAACGAACAGTAGTCACAAGGTCTCAACGCACACACGTGGGGTGAGTCAAGTAGAGTAAGATAGACAAAAAAAAAGGGGGAAAGAAAGGGGGAAAAAAAAGCGACAATAATCACCAGAGCAATGGATTTGACAAAGTAGAGGGCCTGAGGCGCGCACACTCCACCACGATTTCTTTTCAACCCTCGAACATATTTTTTCATAGAGGACAGTATCACGCGAGCCAATCGACGATCGATGTCCACATCAAACTTTCAGAAGCTACCCCTCTCCATTTAACTACCTTCTACGGGTATTTTTACCCCTCCAAACCCTCCACCATGTGCATGAAATTCGAGAGGATGTATGATAAATCGTTTTGAGACATTCACGTCGCGTTCTAGGGAGTTGAATAAGTCGTTGGAGATTGCAGAATGTGCAGTCGATTGAAAAGGAGGAAATGTCTTGTGGATTTTCATCTATTGAATTTTTTTTCATCTCTTTCTCGGCATTCAATATTCTTCAAGTTCCATCGCGAAAATTCTCCAAGGGATTTTTTTTTTTCGGCATTATCCCTGAGGTGAAAGACTTCAATGCCATCACTGTATCATTACGTCAGGATGAAGCGAGGTGAAGTTACTGGGGCGAAAAGGAATATTTTCAATCGCCATGACTCGAGATCGGCAGATTAAAATATAGCCTTTTATTTTTCCATTTTTCCTTGCATTCTCAAGGTACGAGAGGATTGAATATCGAAGAATGGGCTTTCGTTGAGAGCAATCGAATGAGTTCCCTCTTGGAATTTTCTCAAAGAGACTAGATAAATTTCATTAATCACTTTATCAAGGGGATAAATTTGAATGTGATTGATTATAATGGAGCACGCTACTTACATTGCAGATATGGAGCCAATTCTGTTCAGTTTTCGTGTTAAATTCTACCCACCCGATCCTCTGAGGCTCAAGGAGGAGATTACGAGATATCAGATTTATCAGCAGTTAAAGAGAGATCTATTGCACGGGAGATTGTACTGCAGTCCTGGTGAAGCAGCGCTGCTGGCAGCCTGTATACTCCACAGTGAGTTACCAAGCAATCATATTAATCGTCTAATTGTTCCAAGCGATTGAGTACAATAAGGGAAAATGAATTTAATGTTGCGGAATTTTGAGATTGTCTCTTGATATTTCACTTGAACTGAAAATGTCATGTTCAATTTTGGGAAAATTTTGGATTTTAATTAGACGAGCTTGGCGAGTATGATCCTGAAATTCATGTTGGTAACTACATGTCTGAGCACAAGCTATTGCTGAAGCAGACTGAGAGCATCGAGGAAAAAGCTATGGAGCTTCATCAGACACAGCTGAAGACATTCACCGCTGAACAGGCGGAAATACATTTTCTCAGACTCGCTGCTCAACTCGACACGTATGCGGTCGATCCACATCCTGTCAAGGTGAGACACCTCTGAGGGAACATGTTGCTAGTCTCCCAAATATCAGCGAATCAATAATACTCTGATTTATCCTTCAGGATCATAAAGGAACTCAACTCTATGTAGGAATAAATCATCATGGAATTCTGACATTCCAGGGCTCAAGAAAAACTAATCATTTTCGGTGGTCGGAAGTTCAAAAAATCAATTACGAAGGGAAAATGTTTATTGTTCATTTAACTATCCATGAGGTGAGATTTATCACGATTTTTTTCGGTTTGTGTAGATTTTTTGGCTTGTCCTAGTATTTATCGAGTATACAGTGATTCGAGAAAAATTCATGACGTGACTGATTGATTTATTTATTGTCACATGACGAATATGTGACCGTATTACCCTATGACGATCGTATCGCATTTAATTAGTGGCGTGTAAAATATTATGGAAAAAATTACTTGTTCATAATAAAATTTTACGAAAAAAAAACTCGTTCTATTGAATCAATTTCTCATTGGCAAAATAAACTGATGGACAATTATATAACGCAACTCACGTCGCATTATCTCTATAAAATCCGTCAGTGACGATTACATGACGAGCAGATTTTTTAAAACTGCTCGAGCGAAGCAGCTCCTCTCATTAAATATTTTAATAAAATTTTCCCGTTTGTCAGTCCTCGGAATTTTCCATTTTCTCTCGACCAGCTGCTCAGAAAAGCCCTTGAACTTAAATAAAGAATGTCAAGGCAGGTGAATCGCTGACGCATTAACCAGCGCCCTTCATTTTAATCCCAAAAGGGGTTTTATGTGTGGCTTTCCATTACGAGAAAATGATATTAGGGTAGTGGTGGCCGAGAAGGATGGAAAATGGTAAAACATTGAGGGAAAATCATCGAGACAGTATACCATCTTTTTTTCAATGTCGCTGATACGATTACATAGAGCCCTCCCCGCAGCCCCCCCACCAGAATAATCCACTTATTACTTGGTGGTATGTTTCTTTTTTTCCGTACCTCTCACACCGACTGGATATCACTCAGGACTTGAGGACGAAGGTGAGTACAGCAAACGTGTGTACCACTTCAGTATATTGACGGGTTCTCATACGAGGCACCTCGATGCTCCGCCGAGCACATCGAGACACCTTTTTTTTTCGAGTTAAAGTGTACCGTAACCCATGTGAAAATCCGGCAAATATGTATTTTCCCCATATTAATCCTCTAGTATCAGAAAAATTCTCCTGCATAGTTCCTCTGCAATTAGTTCTTATTATTCTTGTTATCACTTTAAACTCGGAATTACATTTTGGCTAGAGACTAGACATTGATGATAAATAGTCAGGTCTTCCCGGTCTCCCTGCTGTTTTAATCCTCGACTCGAGTGAAAAAATAAGAGGCCAATGTATAAAATTCACCCGTAGTTTAAATGTAGAAATAAGAGAGCTGGCATTTTCAGAAGAAACACACTGTCGGCTTCAAGTGCCCAACTGGATCAAACTGCCGCCACGTATGGAGATGTGCAATCGAGCAAATGTTGTTTTTCACGTAAGTGCAACGATGACGCTTTAAACTGGAGCGCCTTAAGCTAGTTTGTCCTTATCGAATGCCATAAATTTCCATTTGAGTTGAAAATAAGTCGATAAAGGAAGCTTGCTTGACGTAGCAAATTGGTTTCACACCGGAGAAGCTAAAAAAGTCCGTGATTTCCGGTGTTTGCCATGAAATTGGATTGAATGAAGTGCAACCGCTTCCGGTGCGCCGAAAGCATTGAGTGAATAAAGTTGAGACGGTGAAAATAAAAGTGCAGAAGGAAATGAGAGAAAAATAAATAATTCAATGTCGGATGCACAAGAGGGTAATGTGCATATTTTTTTATGATGCAGTTTACCGAGAGCCTCTGATGCTCCGGTAGTTAGTGGAGGTTCAATATTCTCGTGGGGCACAAAATTCAAATACACTGGTAGAACAGAGCGTGAAGTACTTGAGGAAACGGCAGCAGCGGCTTCAGCGGGTTCCGCCGAGGCGTCATCGTTGCGTGGAAAAGGAGACACACCGGTCCAACGCTGTCAAACAACAGGACTCAGGAGAAAAGCAAGTAGTGTACCAGCTACACCGAGTACACCCAGCCAAGATCTCATTGAAATTCGTAAGTCATTAATTGGTATTCTCACTCATTGCCCTAATTGCCCTCATTGCCCTCATTGCCCACAACAATCATCACACCGTATCGCTCCTCCATTCCCTCCTCCATTCCCTCCCTCCTCCATTCCCTCCCTCCTATAATTTTCTATCAATTTTCTAATCAATGTTTCCTTAGTCAGGGAGAATGCCTCTTGCACTTGTTAATTAATTAATAATTTACAATAATCCATTAAGTGATAGATATCTTTGGATAAATTTAACACAAGACCATTTAGAATTACTCACTACAATTTGTTTATTAGAAACAAATGTGTTAGTTTGCATGAGTGATTTGTTAATTAGGGGATATTTATCTAGGGTACTCGAGTTTACCCCGAAGCTGTCATAGTGCAGGACTTGACGGTGCTGGTATGTCTGAATCAGGCTCGACGTGCCCTGGCATTGGGGTACCACTGAGCTCACCCTACTGTCCCGATAATACGTTACCACTGCTCGAGACTGTATCCGAGGACCAAGAAATTTATGCCAAAAGGAATAATGGTTAGTCCATAATATCTTTCATGATTTCATTTTTTTTTTTTTATTTATTATTATTGGGTGTATTGAGAGCGCACTCGTTGGTAATGCCGTCTCGGTATTGATCTTGTTCTTTTCTCTTCGGATTTTTTTCTTCTAGTGAATGTCTATTTGCACTTTCCTTTTGATAATTAACGGAGAGATTGGGATATGGAAAAGTTTTTGAATTTGTGAGTACACTGTCATAATTCGTTGTCAATTGGTAATAGAGTTTATTTCCCTCGAGTTTTTCATTGCGAGAGAAATTCAAATTAACTTGATATATCCTATCTCATCACCTCACTAATCTTCAAGGAATAAACGGTAAATCCAGATAAAAATGAGGTAGTATGAAAGCAAGGAATAATTTTCAATTCTGAAGGCTATAAATAAAAGAATTACCCTTTATCCGGGCGCGGAACAGCAACAGTGGGCCATAAACTCAGAAACAAGATCAAATCTCCAGAAATAGTGGGTAAAAGATTCTGAAAGTACCACTTTCCGTCGGAAATGTCGAATTCCTTCCAAAATTCCCAAAAATCCGTCCCCTTTCCATAAATATTCACCGAAATCCTAACGATAAAATTCTCCGCGCTATCAACAAGAAATCTCGACCTCTCTCCACGTTCCACTGCATCGAGTCTGGATCGGATAAACAACTTCCGGGGATGGTGACTTCCTTCGTACAACACATCCGGGAGACTATTTCCAATATTATCCCCAAGACTCCTCACCCTGCGCGACAAACCCTTCTCCGTAATTGCTCCATTCGAATAAACCACGATCAACGAGAATATAAATAAATAAAGCAACGAAAGAATGAACATCGAGTTCTTGGCGTGACGTCCGACAACTCTCGACTTTCACTGCATCCCATGTCTCATTATCAAAATGACATGTACGATTATTGATTCCAAGCCGGAATCCATGACAGTCGACTCCATGTAAATACGAAAGAGCTTGCAGAAATAAACAATGATAAACTTTACGAATCCCAATAAAACCCCATCTACCACTCAATTCAATTGTCATGTTGTTCATGTTAAATGTGTGTTGTTATGCTTGTTGTTTGCTTTTTATATTCTTTTCCCCCCCATAACCCCCCACTCCCTTTATTTTCAATTTCCCTTTATTTGATTTTCTTTCTTTTAGCATTAGACGAAAATGAAAAAACGCATGCGAGTGCCCACTACACCACCACCACCTCAAATCAAATGAAAAAAGTGAAATTTCCAAAGAGCACGTACGATCGTCCGCAGACTCTGTACAGTCAAAAAATAGTCATTGGATCGGACGAATTAATAGGAAGAAATATAGATAAAGTTGTTCGACAAAAGATCGATTCACTGGAGAAGAGTCCCAAAGTGGTGAGATCAACAGCATTGATAATAAAGACATCTAGAACCCCCGTGAAGCCGACAAATAGCATAATAAAACCAGGGAATATCACCTCGGAAATAAAAACATACACAACAACCATTCACAACAAGCCTTGTGAGACAGGAGTTAAATCTGTAAGCCTTGCACCACTACCACCCACCATTCCACCTCGAGTCAAGGTCCAGGCAATCTCATTGGATGTGTCAGATGCACCAGAAATGTCCAAGTGTCCAATGACCATAAAAAATGATAACGATGAGGTGATTGGAAAGCCTGCAGTGAATGGAAATGCAACATCAGGAAGATCCATAACTCGACCAATGGCATTTGCCCTGGCAATGGCATCAGCTGCAGCTGCTGCTGTATCGTCAAATGTACGTGGTACTACAGCAATGACACCCATCACAATCGATGATAACACCAACAAAAATGGACACGACACGTCAGGTAAGAGTCATACAGCTTGAAGAAAAGAACAAAAAAACTTATTCACTACGAGGTAGGTTGCCCTATTTTCACAGCCTCTTATTTATGAATTCATTTGCGCTCGAATATTCCACTCCTCAATCCGCTTTCACTGCATTCAGTGCTTCTCCTCGTATTATTTATTCTTTCTTTTTGTTGAACAACAGCTTGCATGACTGCATTTCCCCGTAGTGCTCCATCCTAGTACTCCTGTACCATTTTCAATTAATTCATCATCCCCTATTCTGTTCACTCGGGTAAAAGGTAGAATTGCTGAAGAGTTTGTTTTTTTTTATGGCAATTGTGTAGTGGAGATTACATGGGCGCTCGAATTTCGATTCATTGATCCGAAATATTGTATTGATCGTTGAAACAATGTATTTCATAAAAGAATTCGCTGGAAAACAAGTAAAGTGGAAAGATTATTTGTGGTTGTTTCAAGTAGTCGGTGATTCTTCGGATATTGATTTTTTTTTTGTTTTTCTTTGCGGTGTTACAGTGGGAGGACCAGGTGATGGAGATACGAATGATTACTTCTTCAGGGACTCGTTCGATCATTCGTCCTCGGAGAGCCAGCTGGTCGATGGTATTGGAAATCCTCACAGTAGAAGTTTAACGCCAGTACCCAAGATGCAGAAATTGCAGAATACGAAATTGTGTCTGCAACCAGTTGGCAGCAGAACGATCATTGGCAGGGCTAAGGCACTCAGGGGTATACGTATTGTACGTATGTTTGTCTCGGCATTTGTGTTGACTGTCACAATGCTCTTTATCGTTATTGTACTTGTCTTTGAGACGGAGTCAACTGTATTTGACAGTTTACGTAAAACACCGGAAATGGTTGCATTCAAGAGTCAGTACTATGTGCCCATCAGGGAATTTCTGAGGACCAAACTTGGCCTATTCTGATTATCCGATTGGCCGATTACGAGACATTGGTTAATTGCTCGTAGTTGCTTATTCGATGGGGATTTTGTGTGATGGGGTTCTGTAAGGAGATAAGATTGACCTTTTTCTACAATCTTTTGCAACATGAGTTTTTCAATTGAAATCGCCAGGAAATGCCACTTATCTCCTTATTCCACTCAAGTACAAAATTTTTATGATGCTTTTTTTTTGGCTTTTGAAGAGTTTTCTGATTGAAATTTAACAGTGCCAAGATGAAAGCCGAGGTGAGTCGAGAAAATTTTGTTATTGCTGGTAGACTTCCGGATTCTCGAGTAAGGGAATTTTTTTTTTTCATTTTGTTATTCGAGGCCTATCTCCAATGGATAGATTTTATTAGAAAAACAAAGTTGTAAAAGCAGTCGTGTGGTACTACTTTCTAAGCTGTTGGTATTGGGAAAATAATAAAAAGCTGGCGAAGATACGGGGGATGCAACAAAAAATATAAAACGAAAATGTAACCTAGGCAGAGTTAAATATTTTATCACGGGGAGCAGGAGATATTACACCTATACGTCTATAGGTGTGGAACTGGTTAGATTCTAGGAGACAAAAACACAGAAAATAGACAAACCGAAAGGTCGGATGACTCTTCTCCCGTTTCAACCAAATGAAAAATAAAACAGAGCAAAATAAAGCAACTCATCCTGTTTTCAGTGTAGCATAATCTATAGGTGAATAAAAAAAAAAGTTCTGAATGTGTGTGCGAGGGGGAGGAAGGAATACTGAATCGTAATCTTTGTCGTGCTAAAAATTCGTGTCTTTGCTGTGCGAAAAAGTGTCGCAAGATCGTGAGAGATAACACTCTCGATTAAAATTTTTCGCACATAAGTGAAACAGAGCGAGGAAAATTATACTTTCTAAATTGAACGAGTCAACTAAAGTCTGTGTACCAGTGCAATAATAGGGGGAGAATTAAATCTCTGAGGGAAAAGAATGATTTATTAATTCCTCGAATAATTGCTTATTCTCATTCTTATTATATTTATAAAGATATTCAGAAATAGGTACGCATCTCCCTGATTTTTCCTGAATAAATTTTATTCACACATTCGAGATCTTGCGACTGATCGGAATAGCCATGAATATTTCCTAAAAGTGCCTACGCTATTCTAGAATTTTTCGAGCGTCCCGCGTGTTCTTGGCTAAAAGTGCAATAAAACGTTAAAAAATCTCCGTTGCTAATTCAATCTCCAATGGATCGAACTGAAAGTGAAGTAGAGGCTAAAAATACCTTGACAATTAAATGAGAGTCTCAATTTTTTGCATTAATGCATGACATAATGACCTAGCGATGCATCCAGTATAAAATAATTGAAATTTCGGTTGAAATCACGTAGGAATTTTCCGCAAGTGTTCCTGCCCAAATGCAGTCGAAAGGAGAATCAATATAAATTGTGTAAAATAAAACGGATGTCAATTGCAATACTATCTAATCTGTTTGAGGGAGAATTGAGAGTTGTGTGTGCTTAAATGTGAATTAGACAGTAATAAATTATAAAATTCAATAGTCACTACCACTGTGAGGCGATTAATTATCTCAAAGTTATCCTTAGGTTTTAAAATTTATTGTATATTGTAATTGCGGGTGTTTAGAAAAGATTATGTTGACTCCCGATTAATTAATTATTGTTATTCATTACGTTAAGGGAATTCTACGAAAATGAAACATCAAATTTTCATTTTCAAGAAACTGACAAATGGGAGAAATTGTGCAATATTAGTTATTCTTCATTCAATGGTTTTGGAAATGTTTTTTTATTTGCCTCGGGAGAGCGGTAACTCGTGGGAAAAAAAATTTCCCTGGATGATTGGATCGGAAAAGTGGTTTGAGGTGACTCGAGAGGGAAATATATCGTGATGCGATATCATGTGTAGAAGAAAAATTATGAATGTTCTAATTTTTCACATTAATTTCTTCAGTGATATATTTTATGGAGTGATAGCAGAGAAAAGCAGAAAATGAGAAGAATTGTGTGTAAGATCTGTATGTGTAAGAGAGTGAGAGCCTTTTTAGTGCTAATAAAGATGATAAAAAAAACAATTGTAGCTGAAGTGAAAGGATTTTTTCCGAATCTAGGTTGATAAATGCTTTTAGCTTACATATCACGTGATTAGTCAATCGTAATGTATCCTCTTTTTAAATTGAGGGATATGATTTTGAGTGCTAAGAGGGACTAAACACCACGCCGTGACAATGATACATGACATACAATCATTAAATCTCCGCGCTATTGGATGCGCCAAGTAATTCTTAATTGTTGTCTCATATTTTTTTTTTCAACGACATTAAATGCACCTATTGTCTCTGCAGTATATATTCGTTCCTTTAGTAATAATAAACAGTATGAGGTGGAAGGAATAGGCAGTAATGGCTAACTGAGGTTCAATTCAATTAGTTTCAAGGTCTGTAATCAAAAGAAAATAATGAGATAATCTTTGTATTGCTCTCGAACTTTTGTACGCTTATTCTAGGGATCTAGTCGTCTTATTGATTATAAACGAATTGCTAGGATAAAAATTTAGAGAGTAGGAGGTCGTACCCACTGGGTGAATCTTTCAAGTTCGTTGTGTATTTTATTTATTGGAAAATACCAAAGGCTTGGGCAATGGAAATTTTGAGGCGCAGAGAATTACTCAGTGGGGACGATATGATGAGAGACTTAATAGATGAAGGAAAAATCAAGAAAATTAAAGTGAGGTAAGCTAAGAAAGAGGATCGAAAGAATGAACAAAAATTACGATACCAGAGGATGATCTCTTCAAGATGTTACGAGGAATTAGCTCCAAAAAACTTAAACTCTCGATAATCATAACGAATGAAAGAGATCACCTTGTAAAGATCATCTCTGCACGATCGAAATAAATTTGCACTTTTTCAAAAACCCAATTGCTGTTTTATCCATTATTCATTTGATATGCTCAACGCGTAATCCCTGAGTTTAACAGAAATTTTATTTTGCCTGGCGAAAAATTGTAAATAAATACTTATGAAAAAAATTGAAATCAAAGTAAAAATGTGCTGGACGAATGACAACTGTAAATGGAATCCAAATATTTGGAATTGAAGATAAACAGAAAATATCTGATGATAACGAAGGAGTTAATAAAAATCACTCGTGTCTGTAATTTATTCCCATTTCACCGATCAATATCCACTCTCAATTATCCTTCATATATCCTTTTTTTAGAATTTCGTAGTCAAAGGGTAAATTTTTTAATTGAATTTTTCGGGATGCTCCCCCTTGGTGACACCTTCCTTAATTGCCAATAATCACTACACCCGAAAACATGAGTATTATCGCACATAGCAAACACTATTCCCCATCCTCCGACCAATTAACCACCAGCAAGCACTTTAATTGGTTCAAAAGTCCGAGGGCATGACTTGATTATCGGCGGCACAAGCTGAGACCTTTCTTTGATCTCCACGAGTATTTACTCGGAAAGAAGCCATCAAAACTTCCGCCGCAGCTGCGGTGTTGATTCCTCGAATAATCTCTCAACCCAATCGATTAAACACTCCCCCCCCACAAAGATAAATAAATAATCTCGAAATACTCACCTGGGAAATCACAGTGGATCTGACCTGATCTAACCCACCTGACATTGCCAATAAAATTAGGTCACGCCTCCATTAACCCGGAGGGTTCAATGACCCCGTCGTACCACCTGGAGGCCCTCGGAGATCGATGGAGGTGATGCAGCTGAGCTCAATAATTCCCAAACAATCGTCAAAGTCATTGCGAGTCAAATCATTGAATCAGTCGTTAGAATTTTTCACAGTGGGTCAAGTTGTCCCTCAATTCTGGTTTGTATGGGTATTTGTAATGTGGAGGCGCGCGCCTTCTAAATGTGAATGAGTGAGTAAAAGGAGAAAAAGGAGGGAAATAGAAATAACACAGGTTTTATCGTGGGGGGCTGGGATTACGAGGACTGGCACTTGGTCTCTCAGACCCTCACCATCAGTCGGTGGCGTGGCACCATGCTAGCTACTACTTTTACGAATCATCTGACTCATTGGTTTGTTCATGTGAGACTTATCACGTCATACGAATTACTCACGACACTGGGAGAGACACTTCAGTCGTTTTGATATCGTCGGAGGATATTCGTCACGTATTTCATCAATTCTTATAGTGATGTTATTCCAGATTTTTCTTATCTATTGATTTTACCGTCACGTGGAGTTTTTTTGTGAGCTTTACTGTTCGTGTGCAAGTGCTGGAAAATTTCGACCATGGTCAGTTTTTGAATTATTCTACTAGCTGTTGAATATTTACTCTTGTCTTTATTTTTTCCCTTTTGGGGTTTTTTTTTTCCTTTATTTTTCACAATCCAGGAATTTTCGTTGGTGAAGTTCTTTAGTTTTTGTTGTTGCTTCCTGGGTAACGAGAATATGAGTATTTATAAATCGAGGGAGCAAATTTTTCGCAACGCGTGCGGCCGGTTTGTTGTAATGAAATTTCATTGCTGGAATTTTCGAGGTATGAGGGAATATTTCCAGTTTTTCAACTTGTCAAATAAAGTACATTTTTTACTGACGAAAATTCTCGGCAATTCCATTGAAAGGCAAGTTATTAAAACTTTCTAAGATATGGGCTGGAATTTTGGGCAAAAAATTTGAAGACCGAGGCTAAAATGAAAAAGAAAAATGGTGCAGAATAAATCCCAACAAATTATCCATTGATTATTATACCTTTCACATTAACCGGAATTTTTCTGGCCTGCAATTTTTTGGTACGCCTACCTGTTATTTCAATAACTACAAAATAGTGGTGATGGAGATAATTAAACCGGTCCCTCTCGTTTTTCCGGGGTTTACGAGTGGCTCAAATAATCCTAGAAAATGTTCAACCCAGTGATGACGATAGATTTTAAAATCTCGCGTGACTTTTGCTTTTGTTAGTCCTCAGAGGTAAAGAGAGGAGATGATTCACTTCTCCTTGGGCCTTCCAATCGATCCAATGGCCCATGCATTTTCAATCCATTATTAATTACTCCCAGGTACTACGCACCTCTTCGCTATTTGAGGTGTATCGGTGCTCCGATAAGATATCACGAGTTTCACTGAATAAACACCAGGTATTGTTGTTTTGTTTACTGGAATTTTCACAACCTCAAACAACTCTATAAATACCGAGTTCAACGTAGACAGCATGAAGCCCTGGAAGAGACAACCGAGGTTTACCAGCGCGAAACGAATGACAATTTTTTGTTCTCCAGTGAAGAAAAAGTCTCATTATCTAAATGACTTTCTGCTCCAATCGTAATGCCTTGGGAAATTGCCCCCCAATTATAATCATAAATGGTGCACGTATAAAATGTGAACTCTCTCGTATTGACTGTTAATTCATTTTATTTCTACTGCATTTCTAAGCGAACAGCGAAAATAATCGAAACATGATAATTTAATTATTTCGTTGCGCCCCTGTGGCCCACATCATTAATACGCTGACAGCATTGATTGGATTATACACTTTTGGTATCACTAATGCCACCAGAATGCCAGTCAGCGAATAATAAAAACATCTACCCGGAAAAGAGGTACAAAATTGCCATGATTCATCGGAAAAGTAAATGTCCAGTATTTAAAGGGAATCCTGAGTAATTAACGTCCGTTCATTCATTCTGGCATTCGTGACGCTCAATAGAAGATGCATTGACTCTTCAAGTTTTACAGATATGAAAATTCTCGGTATTAACAATAATTTCCCATTCAAAGTGAATAGAAAATAAAATTTATGCACACTTATTGCCCATGTGCATTGAAATAACTTCATAATTGTTAACGGTAAAAATTTCCTAAATTTATGGAATTCTTTGACGAGAGGAAGAGCATTATTTCCACGATACGAAGAAAGTGTCGACCTTAATCTCAAATGAATCACCCATGGAAATCCGTTCTTCCTTGGGCAAGGTTGGATTCACACATACAAGCCAAATAAAGTAATCGCTGTCTCCGGCCTCTTTGACAATGGAAGACACACACATCAGTAATTTTTCATTTCAAAACATTTATGTACCGTTATACACCGGCAAATATACCACTGCCGTATATGGACGACCAATGAAACCGTAAACGGAAGTATATCCCTCTCTTATTTTTTTACCGCTGATACAGACAATAAGATTCGACAGTGACGCGTGTGTAAAACGTCGAATGCACATTGACAAAAGGAACAAAAAGTACAGTACTCGTCCCGAGGCATTTACATGGAGCGGAAGCACTTGCTAGACGGACGCGACACTCCCATTCCCGTTTAAATTGGACCTCAGCTTAAATTACATATGGCAACGGAGATTTAATGTCTCAACAGTAGCTGTAAAAATTCTCCTCTAAAAATTCCACAGAAATTGAACAGTTCCTGAAGATGCTTTTCAGATTCCCCAGGAATTGCCGCGTCATCGCGCCACATCGCGTTTAGATCTTAAGATATCCACCTAAATCTCCCGGAAAACAATAAATTATTGTTGTTGTTTATTATAATTAGGTACAGCATCACTGGCAAAGTCAAAATGTTAAGGTGTCAGGAGTGGATGATATGGTCCTCCTCCCGAAGATCACGGAGGAAGCAATTATGGAAAATCTCCGGAAGCGTTATATGGATGATTATATATTCGTATCCTTTGATAATCGTAAAAGTATTTATTATTCAAAGTCCCCCATTACTGCAGTTTTACCATAGGAAATTGAGAGGATGAGAGTTTCTGAGAGTTTCTCACGCTCAAATCCTCATCTCAGGTGCATTAACTGAAAGTCTAGTGACCCCTAGGGGCCATTGTACCCCGGGTAAATGCACATTACGTAAAATTCATTGCATAAAGATTTAATCAACCTGAGATACTGTTTTCCTCAATGTATCGTATGCATGTGCGGGTAGACATGCATTGGTCCTGTTTTGGTGTCGATCAATCCGTTCAAACAGATGCCCTATTTCGGGGAGAAGGAGGTGCAGATATATCAGGGTGCGGTGAGTAATTAAATTTCACTTTCACGTTGATTAAAAAAATTAAACATTTTAATTGAGGAAAAATCGAGACTTATTATCGTCGATTTTTAAGGCGCCCTATGAAAATCCACCGCACATATACGGTTTAGCGGACGACATGTATCGCAACATGTTGATCGACGTGGAGAGTCAGTGTGTCATCATCAGGTTTGTCATACATTTTTTTCATTGTATTCTTTGTCTCTGCCATTTTTCCAGCAATTTTTTTTTTTTAAACTCGTTCTGTTCTGATTCATCTCCGTTAAATAGCGGAGAGTCAGGCGCCGGCAAGACGGTTGCAGCCAAGTACATAATGGCTTATGTATCGAGGGTAAGCGGTGGTGGTGAACGCGTACAGAGAGTCAAGGACATCATCCTCGAGTCCAACCCACTGCTTGAGGCCTTCGGCAATGCTAAGACTATTAGGAATAATAATAGCAGTCGATTTGTGAGTGATTCTTGGATCCAGTAATTAGGGAACATTGAACTAGCGCGGGGCGACGATTTTATTTTTTATTCTCCAGGGAAAATACGTGGAGATGCAGTTTGGTGACGGCGGACAGCCCATTGGCGGGAAAATTACAAATTTTCTCTTGGAAAAATCTCGAGTGGTTAGGCACAACACTGGTGAAAGAAGCTTCCACATTTTTTATCAACTGGCATCTGGCGCAAATGAGCAGATGAAATGTGAGTAAAAGGACGACACGTGCTGGAATTCTCTTTTATTTTACGAAGAACTTGAGAAAAAAATCTTCCTGTTATGGATTTCCTCGTATTTATCTTCGGGCGACTGAGATTCCATGAAAAAAAATGAATTATCCAAGGGCTCAGAGAATTCATTGCAAATTATATACACATGATCAGGCGCATGGAAAATTCATTGCCACGAGAAGATGCCGATGAATTATTATTGATGCCATTGAATTGTGGATTTTTTGGCGAGATTAACGCGAAACACAAAAAATGTTTTCTTATCATTTTTTTTTGTTATCAGCGGAGTTTGGATTGAGACAAGAACTTGATAACTGCGATTATATAATGAATTGGGATGGCTCTGCGCTTCGCCAGGCTGACCGGGGTGGTGGCTCCGATGCCAAAGAATTTCAAGAAACTTTGAAAGGTAAATTATCCCAAAATCATGGAATCACTCGAATAAAATTGATATTTAGGTGATAAAATCTCTCAATCAGGACGTCACTCAATTATGGAGTGATAAGCCCCTCGAATTAACTCATACGACTTGAAACCGAAATGTTATCTGCATTGAGGATAACTTATTGAAACATTCCCATATCTATGAATCACTCCACGCCCCCATGGCCTCAATAGAGAAACAAAGGATTAAACAAACAATTATGTTGCAGCCTTGAGTGTTATGGGAATCGTAGAAATGGAGGTATCAAACCTCTTGAGGATAGTCTCCGGTATTCTTCACATAGGAGGAATTAAATTCCGCGAGAATGGAAATTATTCCCAAATTGCTGATGGAAGAGGCAGGTATTCCCCTGAGAATTTCATCTAACGATGTAAATAACACATGTTCGTTATCTTTTTATATCAGCGCTTGAACTCCCTTCGTACCTTCTTGGCATTTCTGCGGATCGTCTTTCCCATAAATTGACATCAAGGGAATTCGAGTCCAAATGGGGCAGTCAGTCAGAGAGTGTTGATGTAACACTCAATGTACCACAGGCACTCTACACACGAGATGCACTCGCCAAAGATATTTATGCTAGGCTATTTGATTACTTGGTGAAACGCGTCAATTCAGCCATGCAAACTGCCGGAGACTCCTTCGAAATAGCTATTCTCGATATCTATGGTTTTGAAATATTTGAGACGAATGGATTTGAGCAGTTCTGCATCAATTTCGTTAATGAAAAATTGCAACAGATATTCATTGAGTTGACGCTCAAAGCAGAACAGGTGATAATTATTTAATTACTAAATTTTGAGCAATTTTTTCCTTTTTTAAAAAAATTTAAAATATTTTCATAATTAAAAATGTCTAGCAATTTCATCGCTCGTCAAAAATACTCGACTACTGTCCAATTGCCTTTCAATGACATTTTAACAACTCTATAATGACCTTCGCCATCACAAGGCGCTAATTAATGTAATTAAATAATTAGGAAGAATACATAGCAGAGAACATCAAATGGACGCCAATAGACTACTTTAATAATGCGATTGTGGTTGACCTCCTCGAAGGGAAACGCCCTCCAGGTATTTTCCTAGTTATCGATGATATCTGTGCAACGCTGCACAGTGGCACTGGCTCAGCAGATTCAGACCTCCAGAAAAAGCTCTCGACAGTCTCCAACAACCATCCGCACTTCCTCGAGACAAGCGATGGTTTTGCAATCCTCCACTACGCCGGACAGGTGGTCTACTCGGTTGACGGTTTTTGTGATAAAAATCGAGATGTTCTTTTTACTGATTTAATTGAACTCATGAGGAGCAGTTCCAATCCTCTCATCCAGTCCCTCTATCCCCTTGACGACGATACCGGAAGAACAAAAACATTGAAAAAACCTACCACAGCAGGAAGTAAAATTCGAAGTCAAGCAAGTAGACTAGTTGCACAACTTATGAAATGCACTCCACACTACATTCGTTGCATAAAGCCCAATGAAACGAAAAAACCGAGGGACTGGGATCAAATGCGAGTGAAGCATCAGGTGGAATATCTGGGATTAAAAGAGAATATTAGAGTGAGAAGGGCTGGTTTTGCTTATCGCCGAACATTCGCCAAATTCCTCCACAGATATGCCATTTTGACACGCGAGACCTGGCCAATCTGGAGTGGAGACGAGAAAAGGGGAATTCAGTGGATTATGTCGAGCATTCATATCGACGAGAATCAGTATCAACTCGGAGCAACCAAGGTCTTCATCAAAGCCCCCGAGAGCATCTTCATGCTGGAGGAGGCTCGAGACCGCAAGTTCAATTTTTATGCGAGAATCATTCAGAAAGCCTTCAAGAAATTTTTCGCGAGGAAGAGGCAGGAGAGTGAGAAACAGGCAGCTGCTGACATAATGTATCGTCACAAACAGAGACGAAAACCCAGTCTTGAGAGGAATTTCGTTGGGGATTACATCGGGATGGATGGAAGGCCTGGACTCACCGGGCTACTTGGGAGGCGAGAAAAAATTCTCTTTGCCGAAGTCGTCAGGAAGTACGACCGGAGGTTCAAGATGTGCAGGAGGGATCTAGTGCTGACAGGGAATTGTCTGTATTTAATTGGACGAGTGGAGAAGCCTGGGAAAACGGGGAAGGGACGGTTTGCAAGAGGGCAGAGGATGTCTGAGGAGATCATCAAGAGAAAACTCATGTTCGAGCAGATAAGTCATGTATCTTTGAGCACTCTCCAGGACGATTTCGTTATTATTCATGTTAAAGAGGACTACGCCACTCTCCTGCAGATAATATTCAAGACTGAATTTCTGTCGGTTCTCAGCAAAAAGTATCTCGAAGTTGTGGGGCATTCTCTCAATATCAGATTCAGCAATAATTTGGAGTTCAAAGTTAAGAAGGAGGGATGGGGTGGAGGGGGCACACGTCAAGTGAAATTTACGCAGACCGGATGGGGTGATGAGGAGGTATTGAACTCGAATGGAAAGATTCTCAACGTCACGATAGGCCCAGGATTGCCAGCCAACTCCAGACCCAGCAGATCATCCGGACAGAGGATATCGACGAGGCCCATGAATCATCGACCTGCACCAGCTGTATTCAATAATCCATCAATGATAAACCAGAATTCACGGCCTGCGAGGCCTCCAATGCCCCAGGAACCGAGACCATCACCAAGGAAATATCCAGATTCTCACAATACTGTCAATACTGCGCCAACAAGTTCCAGACCTCAACTGCCACCCAATCGACCTAATGTCCGACCCACAGCTCACAATCACAGCAATAATAGCAATAATAAAGTCGCTGGGCTGTCAGCATCTCTAGGTAAAATGCTGATAAACCCATCAGGAGCACCTAGAACAGGTCTCCTGAGGGCTCCTCCACCTCCCTCGGATCCAGCACCACCGAATCAACCTATGATTCATCCCTTTACTAGCAACCAGAGGACGGAGAATAGAAACAGTGATAATCGACTATCTGGTGGAGTTACTGGACTCGATGATCCTAATCAGAGGCTAGCTGCTACTCTTCTGATGCATTCCAATAGAAATAAAGGACCTCAACCTCAACGACTACCACCGAGACCACCCCCAGTCTCTATCCAGAGTTTTCCTAGAGTCAAGGCTCTCTATGACTATAATCCACAAGACTTGGATGAGTTGGCATTGAAGGAAGGAGATATCATTGAAGTATTAAAAGAACGTGAGTCATTCAATATCGTTCAGTGCAGTTATGAATTTTTGATTAGACTCGTTATAGTCGCGAATTTTCTCATACCAAATTCGAATATGGAAGAAATTTATTTTTAAATTAATTTCAGTTATGGTTATTCAAATAATTTAATTAATACTCTGTGTTTTAGATGAAGGAGGCTGGTGGCAGGGCAGACTGAATGGGAAGACTGGCCTCTTTCCGTCCAACTACGTAGAAAAAATTTAAAGGATGCGCTAAACATTTTGATTTATAATTCCATTTGTATCTTATTTTTATAATTCCATCGAGCCTTCCAAAGAGACACTCACGTGTCAATTGTCTAATCCGATAGATCACCATTTGTATATGTACAGGAGTAATAAAAAAATGTCAAGTCACTTATCATGTCTGTTGTCTGTTTGTTTCGTAATGGGAATATTTTTCATTTGATGGTCTCACGGAATCACTCGCACTGCCCTCAATTCGAGGTATGCGTGAAATTATGGAATTTCAACACGAGGAGTAGAGGTTTTTTATGATTCATTTGAATTCAATGACTTTATTGATTTCTTCAAATTAAAAATTCACTACTTACGAAATTCATAAGGTCTACTGTAAATGATAAATAGAACCATAATGAGGAGGCGAGAGTGGCGTTTACAGAGATGAAATTCTTAAATAATTCGTATAATGAAAACGATAAATTCGATAATGTGAATTTTCTTTCGCTTGCATGTATTTACATCATGTGGACGATTTATTCTTGCCATTTTAGGACAATAAGCATCACGCATTAAATATCATTTATTTATATTATTGTTAAAGCTTTTTTTATCTTTAGTGGATTGAGTTACCAGTGAAAATGTCTCTTCAAACAAAAAACAATTAGCGAATTTTTTAAACAATGTTAAGTAATTATTCTTCAGTTTATCCGATGAAACTGAAGATCTTACATACCTTAAAATCAATTAACAACATTCACAGAAAATTGTTTTGGCAATTAATTTTTTCATTCTGATTCAAAAAGATACTCCTCGATTAATTTTCGTCAACGCGAATTAAAAAAATCTCGAGCACACGACTTGTTCTTTAAATATTATTTTTAGAATCTTCATTATGCATAAAAACGTGCGCATTAAATTTGCAAATGAATAATAGATATTGGTTGAATTCACAGTCACATCGATGTGATTATAATTCTGAGATGAACCTAAATAATGTAAACAGTCATCTTTCGTTTCAAAACACAGTTAATTGAGTACAAAAACACTTGTAGCCTTGAACGAGTGAAATGAGCAATGAAATATAAATTCGTGTCAGTGAATTTGATATCTTTCACGAACCAAAAAAATTGCACCGAAATGCTCCTATGGCACATTTGTGAGTATAATCAATCGACGAGGATGATTCGATATCTAATGAACAATATTCCCCCGAATCACGAAAAACTCCCAATACGAATGGTACAACGAACTACCACTAGTATAACTTTAATGAAAATACACCCTAAATTCATGAGCAAAAGAGAGCTTCAAACTCATAATCATCACGTAATAAAAAAGATTCGTCCTTCTAACAGAACTCATTCGCCATTTGTTCATTAACGAGCTTTGCTCCATTTAATTTTAATATACCTAAATTAACTATTTTTATCTCCAAGTGAAAATAACTGAACAAGGTAACTAAACGAGGCATTTCAACGTACCGCTCTATAAACACAATGTTCAATTTGTTCTTTGGCAACTCCACAGCAGCGTGAACTTCTTTCCAGCATTGAAGCTCAAATTACAAGCAATTTATTCATTGAATAACGCAATTTTTATTTCGCTGAGCTAGTCCAGCCCGGGACAAGTCTCTTTCGATTTCATCGTCATCTTCAATCGCTCTCTCTTGTGTATCCAAATGATGCACCAGCTCATCCCTCTTATTAACAATAGAAACCAGCTCCTCTAGGAGTAAATTTTCTCTGACCTTCTGTTCAGCAGTCTTCTGCCACTCCTCCACCGCAAGTATACTCCGCAGCTCCCTATTCAATAATTCAAATCGTCTCTCCAGATCGTCCTCCTTCTCCAGAATATTCAACTGCATCTGCCTCCTCAGTAGTGCATTTTTCTTATTGACGAGAGTGAACCAGAGAGACATGAGACGTTCGGTGTCTTCTTCATTGTCACTCTCCATGGCCGCTCGTAATTGTTTTTCGAGTTTGGCGGCTTGCACGTCTATTTGACTCTGCTCCCTCTCGAGTGCCTCCAGTTCATTCTGAATATAGGAAGTCATGTCCTTACCTAATCCTCTGATAGTGTGGGGACTCCTCTCAGGGCTTTTCTCCGGGGAAATTCGTTCGAGGATTTTCGAGAACGAATATAATGGGGAATTCGTTTTCTTGTCAACATCCGCGGCACTCGCATTCGCAAGGACATTTCCATTGTACTCAGACTTAATACTCAAACGATCTCCAGGTGTGGACGGAGTCATACTTCTCCTTGGGCTATTGTTCTGATCATCAATAGAACGTCTGTCACTATTGTTATCATCCATTAATTGACTGGGGGTCACAACAACTCCCATTCTAGCTTCTGCTATCAGTCTGCGGGCCCTCTCTCGCAGCTGTGCCTGTCTGTCCTCTTCATTCTGTGCCTTCACAAAAAAAAATCAATTATTTATCTTTCGTCGTGGTCGTTATCTCACACCTGACGTACCTCTACTGGACTTGATACCGGTGATGATACGTTTGGCGTCTTTGTCTGGCTTCTCGCTTGCTCCAGGAGCTGTCTCGCACGTTCACGGAGCTCGTCGTGACGCGTTACTAATGGCTATTGAAGAAAAAAATATATACAACCATTCCATGTCATAATGCAGTCATGATTTTGTTATAATCTGGATTTGAGAATGCATTCTTACGTGTTGAGAGCGTGAGTCCCCGTGGGACGGTGACATTGTTCCACGGCCTTCTGAACTCGCCCGTATGCCACGGTCAATCAACTCCTGTTAATGAAAAAAAAATATTAGGCCTGATTAGGTCGCTAGCCGATCGTTTTTTTTTTACATTTTTGGAGCCGAGGTATTTTTAATATAGAAAATTCCCGAGTAATTCAAAACATTTCTGTTTTGTATTTGTAAAGAAATCGACTCACATCTCTCGGAGATATCGGTGATTTCCCAATAGAAATACTCTGTGATAACTTATCATCAACCACCTGGATATTGTCCTCTTCATCATCCGAGCCAAAAGGATCTGTTAATTGCCTCCTAGTCATGAGAATGGGGCGTTGTTGGGGCATGTGCAATGTCCGAGGTGGAGACTTGCTCTTCTCCCTCGACAAGTACTTCTCCTTCGACGGTGACAGAACTTTCCCAAGGATACTCTTTGAGCTCGCCAAGATGATGTCCTTGACATCCTTGACACTCGTCGGAGATTTGTCTTTCCCCAGCTCATGGTCCTGGCTCTCTGCGCTCAGACTCAAGTGCAATTTGTGCTTCAGAGAATCCGCACAAGACTCTTCTCTTTTATAATCAAAGGGATTTGACCTTCTGTTGCTGTCTGTCTTGTGCCCCCTCTGTTCCAACTGCTCTTTCTTCCTCATGTTTATGATTTCCTGTCCGAACAATTGCACACTCACGTCGGAATTGTTGTCAGTGTTGAATCTACCGATCATGTATGACGATTCATCTGTAGTTTTTCCAATTTGATGAACTTCCAATTCGTGTCCAGTGAAGTGTGCTCTCAATTGATATAAATAAGTCATAACTGCAAGTTTATCTGGTACCGTTAATATATCCATATCAGCTGGCTCAATTACCCTCGGTATGCCAAGTGCCTCTCCAGCATCGAAAGCCTTTTTACAATTTCCTTTCACATCGTGAGGCAGCAGCGACTCAATGTCGATAAGATCAGGCCTGAAATAATGGACTATAGCGCAAAAAGCCATTCCATTACGCCAGGAAGTCGTCAGATTGGTAACTCTCACACCAGGATAATTTCTAGTTACATCCTTACACCACTCGAGAAGATCCTGACCAGGTGTTATCTCTCTCAGTCTAGGAGCACCTGTTTCATTTTTCTTCAGATCGAGGGGCTGTAATTTTGATCTCATCGCTATATTTTTGTCGTTCTCAACTGCAATATCACTTTTTATTGGGGACATCTCGTGCAGGTGATCGGAAATGGCATTTCCACTCAAGCCTCGAGGTATTCGTGTCTCGATGTTTGTTGGGGTCATTGTCTCGTCTTTCGCGAGGCTTGCGATACTTATTGGGGTACTGGCAATCTCACTCTCAGTTAAACTACTTGTCATCAGGTCTATCTGCGTTGATATGTCTAGAATTTCGTCCAAATTCTTCAGGGAAACCTCCTCAACATCCTCAGGTATGTCTTCGTTGTCGAAATCATCGAGGGGAGCTATGTCACTGTTGTTGTTTACTGACATTAAACTCGCCATGGACTGCATATCTTCATCCCTGTTTTCATTCAGTGAATAGAAAATAACATTGTAATAACATTGAATATTACGATGTGGTTGAAAAAAATTTTATGTATAAATTACAAAATATTCAGGCCCATATATTTCTATGTCTATTTCTATGTATTTTCTGTATGATAATTCATAGATAATAAACTTGCGCTGGTGGCTTTGAATTTTTATCAATAGAGGAAGTGACTTTCCCTCACTCTATCATTAAAAAAAAATAAAGTAATTCTTGAATATGCGACAAAAAATGAAATTAAAGTGGAATATATCCATCAGTTGTTTTTTTAGTACCCAATGAATAATTAATTCAGAGAATAAAAAATTCTTACGTTGCTTTCCCTTCACGTAGAAAAACGCAGGACAAAGTGCACTCTATCGTTGATCGAACGATTTTCTTCGATGTTGGTTTTAAATCCAATTTCAATTGCTGTTGACTAGACTCGAGAGTTGCATATTTTTTCATGTTGATATTTGTGGCAGCGACGTGACGTCTTTTGCCAGTTGGTGAGACATCTTCGACGACAAATGTCCAATCCTTGTCTTCCAATTCGTGGGTTCTGGGGTCTTTGAAGAGAGTGACAGAGACAGTGTGATTGTCGGGGACTGGCCAGCTGACAATGCCAATTAGAGGATCGCTCAGACATGGCTCCCACTCGAGAGGCTCTGAACTCACTCTTCTGCTTCTTCTCGTCCATACTACACTCAGCTTATTAGGTTTCCTATGTAATTATTGTCAGAATCTAATTAAAAACTGTGAAATAAATTTGACTTTCAAATGGTTACTGTCATTGAATTTCAAGTGAAATTCTAATGCAATGAGGGCGAGAGATAATTCAACGAAAAATCATCGAGTCATGGATGTCAGGATGAAATGGGAACATTTTTAATATAGCGACATTTTTTTTTAATAGAAACCTTTTGATACAAAAATTATTTACCACTTGGAAGTCGTTTCAAGCGTGAGCTCATGATAAGAAACTGTAAACTGGAACTTGGCAGCTCGTTTATTCACCCTCTGCAATCTCTTCCAAACAGAGCTCATCTTCAGAGATTATTCTTTGACATGAATCACACAATTTAAAAAATTCCAGGGGCTCGACCTTGTTTACTCGATGAAGCTAAAATAAAATCGTCGATCACGTTCGAAATTCAGTCATTTCTATAAATCGTCAAGGTCAAAGGAAGCTGTTCTCCCCCGCAAAAATTCACTCCCTGTTTTCCTTCTGCTATCGTATCTCACTATTTTCCCTCTCCCTCCTTAAAACACTGGGTTGCACAAAACTGTTGGCTAACCAACTACGTAAATCGATTGTGATAACGTGGTATTCTCGTATTCTCCAACGACAAGTACGACCTCGTCAATTATCCTTCCAACCTTTGTCCTTGATATTTTTCACTATATCTCGAAAATAACGATGTTCATTAAATGGCGCTGTCAATTACTGCACAACTCTATTGTCACAATTATCATTTTTCATCTGATGAAAATGGTAGATTGACTGCGTGGGATTTATATCATTCTCCACGAGTTTGTTGCACAGAAACGAGTCATTGCCTCCAGGAGATTCACCGCCTATCGATGATTTTCAACTTTACGCTCGCAAATTATTCACTCTTTTCCCTCGCACTCACACCTTCTTATTGTGACAATGAGACAGCTGATTAGGTGTAACTCGGTGTGATCACGTAGCTTTGAGTTGAGAAAAAAAAAAAATAACCAGCACTCGAATGCACGTACGCTATCGTACGGCCTCTCGTTTTGTCTGTGCTAAAAGTGGATGTCAGTTGGGGGGTAAAAAGAAAATGACAGAGAGAGAGGAAAACAGCGGAAAAGGGAAGGAGCTTATCGATCTATGATCGTGTAGCTTTGTGAAGGGAGAAACTTCATTCATTCCCGAGGTGAAAGTCATCTTATTTCTCGGAAAATGCACGAGATGTCGTTGCACTTACCGAATTGCATTCGAGAATTATTTTCACGGAGTATAAACTGCTGTATCTGTTTTCTCATCGGTACAACGAAATTGTGTACGCGTTATCCAATGGTGAATGGTGGTAAAAACGATTTCAATGACTGAAGTTTGCCAGCTATAATCGATAAATTTAAATATCGAATTACTGTTCGAATCGATTAAATCGATGATCTTGTGATACAATTTTCATTTTCTTCGAAGAATTATTTATTGCCAACAGTTTATTTATTGCCAGTAGCTTATCTCCCTCACGATTCTTCAAAAACTCGGGTGTTCCACAGGTGGGGAACATCATTGTGGAAAGTCTCTCAGGATCACAGCAAAACATCCCTGAATATTCATAGTGTCACCCTTGTAACTAATAAAAACACGGGGTGCATTTAACTTGCAAATGGAGGTGTCGTGGATTAGCAGAACAAGCCCCTATCAAAAACCTGAAACCAGATCGTCGAGACCAGTTGACCCACTTAAAACCGTGTCAACGGCACGTCCAGAGGAACCCAACAGAGGTTTAAATAAAAAAAGATGCATTGAAAAAGTTGAAAAAAAGAATAGAAGTCCATTGACAAGTCCATAGCCTTTCCGAGAATAAAAACCCTTTTTCTTGCACAAAACTCGAAGAGACTCCAGTAAAAAGAGGAACAACTTAAAAAAAAACGTAGAAGCCTAAAAAAGGGCAAAAAGAATGGATGTGTACCAGTGCGCCTGGAAGAGTCGCTGAAGAGTCATCAAGAAGATGACGAGTGGAATCGAAAGGGATAGCGGGCACGCGTTGCGTATACAAAACAAAAAGTGAGAAAACTATAAAAAAAAAAACCTCTGGAAGAGTCGAGTGCCTTGAATCAGTGCTGGTAGCACGAGATCTTGTCCCCCAAAACCGTAAAAACCGAGGAAGAAAAGCGGAAGAGGGCCAGAATCAGAGAGCATCACCGAGGAGTCCATCATCCACTGGAGAAAATAGACTGATTTGTCCCCTCGAGACAGAAACTAATGACGACCAGTGATTAAAGATAAAATGCCCGATGGTGTCAGCTGTACGTTCGTCCCTGTCGTTTTGGTATCACGATGAAGGCTTCTTGGTTGTTCTCAGCGTCATGTACATCTCCAAGGTGTATTTTCTGTATCATACGTGTGTGCGCACGGCCATGGATACAACATAACGAAAGGAAAGGCAGGGAACGTGAAGAGGAGGTGGGAGATGACGAGGGTGGAGGAAGGGGGGTAGATGAGGCCGGTGGCAGGAGTGAAGGCAAAGAGGCAAAGAGGCATATTCCAATAGTCCGGTTGACTCGGCTCAGTCCGATCCAAACCACTGCCACGGTCACCACTTCTGTACTTCAATGCTTTTTTGAATAAACAACCGATTGCCGCCACTCGTAACTCACCCCAATACACGACAATCCGGATAAATTCAAATGCATTAATTCAGTGGACAATCTGTACCTGTGACGTGCTTTGTGTTTTTGTACATCAGCGTCTTATCATTTTTAAGAGGTTCACTGAAGAACTTTTTACTCTGCAAGTTGACAAGTCTTCACATGGAGGTGACAACGGGCTCCAATCACAGGTTGATATTCAAATCGATTTTCCTATTGATCGTTTACTACGCGAGTTTAATTTAGTTTATTTTAGTTTATGTTAGTTTATGTTAGTTTATGCTGCATGGAATGCCACTGGTGTACGGGCTTCAATGTTCAGGACATTGACTCCGCATTTTTTATTTCCTCATTGTTAGTTTCATGCTGAGTTATGGGGGAATATGTTTGCTGGATGTTTCGGAATACTTATGCTATCAATTGCTCGGTGGTTTATGCAGTTGGGGGGTGGGTATGTAGTTTACGTGGGAAATTGTTGCCTGGCGATGGGAGAACTACCGAGTTTTCACATTTAATTTGGAGTCGAGACAATGGGTGAGGGATTGTGCATTTTTTTTTTTGCTTTATTTTTTCTACTGTTCCCTCTCAATGCGCATCCTGAATAACTGCGGGAATATCGTGCGATGTATGTGCATGTGAATTCCCACTTTGTACATGCTCGATTATTAAATTCAATGTTCTGACACGGGTCTGGGGGAATGAAAGGACAGAACAGGTTTTAATTAATTAGGAGTGATAAAGTTCGGGATTTCATGGGGTTGCGGAGGCGGCAATGGGGTGACGCATTTTTCCTTTTCATTTTTTTTTTTTGGAGACGCTTGGGCTGATAACCATTCTCATTTATCACTCGGAATTTTCCGCGGGTGAGGGGGAATGGGAGATATTAATTCAATTAAATAGCGCTACTGAAGTTGAGAATAATTCAATGTGAGGCCCTCACGTTTTAATTCACTAATGAAAACTCATTCATTCGGTGGTCCATCGATTTTATTCCCACGTAAAACTGCTTTTGAAAATTCCTCGATCTAATTTCTATTTCTTAATAATACATTTTTAATTTTGATTAATTATTAAAATCTCGCATTTCATGGAGTTATGCAAGAAGAGGAGGGAGGATTTTTTTTATTTATTTTTGAAGTACGTCAAGGTTGATAAAAATTCTCATTCATCACCGGCATTTTCCTGAGAGACGGCGGGTTGAATAAAATCTCGTAGCTGAAGCGAGTATTAATTGGATGTGAGGTCCTCAAGTTTTAATTCATCTTTTTCATCAGATTTTGTTGTATTTTTTTTTTTATTAATAAAAGGGGAAATTGTCGAGTGTTGAAATGTCGAAATTACGGGGTATGCGCTCGTTATACTGGTGAAGGCGAAAAAACCGACGGTGAAGTCCTCCCACTCGTGCACGTGCGTCGTGTTCCTCGCTCAAACACCAAACTGTGAAGAATTGTGTGTATGACGGTTTTTTTGTAACGGTATTAATACGTGTAACGGGAGGAAAAATTCAAATATTCATGGGGAACGATTGGTCGCGGAGAAGAGGTTCCTGGGAGTTCGGAAAAAATTAGAATTCGAATTAAAATGCTTTTCGTATTTGAATGTCCCGGAATGACGAGATAGTGTGCCTCAGTGTGAATCAAATATCAATTCTTCATTAACCGTTTAATTATATTAATGCATCGAAATATTGGAGTAAATGTGTCCTAAAAAATATTGGCGTCCTCCCCCGAAATACTCGGACGTAATTATACAAAGGGAATTTTTCATTTAATTAATCATCACGAAAAAGAAATGAAAATTCCCCAAAAAATAGTCTGGAATTACCCATCTCTCTGATTGAATAATAAATTCCAGTTTAACCTCATTGCGAGATTTAAACCACTCGTACCGAATTTGCATTCCACCCGCCACAGACTGCCCCAATTAGAACCGATTAATTCGAAAGACTGCTGGAATGCAAGTTGAGAGAAAAAGAAAATTGAAACAATAGTGAAAATTCAAATTTGCCTTGTTCTCCACCAGGATGAAAGAAAATGGAATAAATTGAAGCTGAGGAAACGAGCTGAGAGGGAATTAGATAGTCAGCACCGAGGATCAAACAGAAGTGGGTGAGAAGAGGAGAGGAAGGGTCAGGGTTCAACCAAGAGGCGTTAAATAAAATTGAAAGAAAAAAAAAGAAGTGGGAAAAGGAGTGAAGGGGGAAAAGGATGGTGGTCGAATGGCTGTGTCCTGGACTGAGGCCCACTGGTAGTCGCAGGCCTCGGATTCTCCACTGCAAGGTCATTCTTCTGGATGAACACGAATTACTGCAGGATGTACTTGTGAGTATCTGATTAATTACAATCTCTCACCCCTGCGACCCGAACAATTTACGATTTTTCTCCCCGATTGAAAAGGCGAAAAGAATTTTTTTTCCTTTAAAAAAATGAATAATCCATTGATTTTTTAATATAAGGGGACATTCGACTCGTCCCCCATTCGAATCCAATTGATAAATCATTCCATTAATGACGGATGGGAAAAAAGATTTTACCTGTTAACTCGACGGGTTTCTAACTCATTGAAATGGATGACTCAGTGAAAATGGCGCAAGTTCCATTCAAATTGGAACTGTTCTGGTACTCCCGGAGGGAATTATCGTGGCGCATTTTGATGAGAGATCGAGTTGCTAACTTTTCCCCTTGGCTGTTCGTTCTGAAAGGGTTGAAGACGAATATAACACACGATAGTGCAGAAATATCCAAATTAAAAGCAGGAAAAAGCCAACGGATCGGAAGTCTAATGGGATGAAACGTATCACATCCCATTCATCAAGACAAACACGCGTGCTGTACTCCCGGGAGTTCTCGGAGTCCCATTCGCACCAAAAAAAGAAAAAAAAAATGCTGAACGAGTTCCCGAGTACTTTCTGAGAGCTCCACCCCCTCTAGGCTCGACATTGTTCCCTGTGCTTATATTAGCCGCCAAACGAAAACCCCATGGGTTGAAGGGCGACGGAGGGAGAAATCGAAATTACTTAATGGAGTACCTCGCAGCCATACACGGATTTATATTCCTGTTCCCCGCGTGGAAAGAGATATAATCCTAAAATTATAACTCAGCTTTTTCACGGAATTATCCAGTGAATATATTCAACTTTTCATATTTTCAATAGATCTTGTGAGTAGTGAGAGATATTCCCGTAGAACCCTTGAAATTTCAATGATAGAAATGTTTGAGCTCATTAAGAAAATTCAATCTGCTATCTCAATAGAATTTTCATCTCATTTAGAATCGAGATTAAATGCTGCGGAAAGTCTGCCGGTTTTTAATCCTTGATTTTCATCGAAATTTTTTCATCGCAATTTCTCGGATGAAAAAAAAACATGAAAGTAATACCGTGTAAATTAGAATTTCATTGAATATTCAAAAAAATTCCCAGAATCTCGACCAACAAGAGATGAGTCCCACGTAAATTAGGGGTTGTAAAAATTTCACACTTTTTACTGAATAGCTCGAGTAGTCTGAGTAATTTTCTGCTAGTATACGGCCGAAGGTAAAAGTCTCGAGAAAAATCGACCAGCTCGTACCAGAAGATTATTTATTATTTTGGAATTCCTCCAAAGATGCCTCACCCTCACTCCACTTCCACCTCACCATGTCCCCCTGATATCACATTTTCTTGATTAAATGAACTTCATCTCGGCCAAGTGCTCATACTCTCCCCTCAAATTCCAAGTACCGGGTACTCACATAAACATTCGCGTTATCCCCGTGAAACAGCGGATCCTAAAAAAAAAATACAAGAGTCATGGGGCACCGACTTTGGCCCCTGCCCTGTTATTAGCTGATACCCCAAAATTGACGCCAACCCTTCAAAATCCCCCTGTCCCCCCTCAAGGCTCCGCTAATTCACGCGGCAGCCCTCCGGGCCCTCACCCCCTCCTTTTTTTGTCTTCCCATCCCCTCGAGAAATTTCGACGAAGGGCGTGAACACCAGAGGGGAAATTCCTCGAGGATCAGTTATGCACGTGCCTCACCTCCAACTCTACCCTAAAATTTCTGAACCATTACCCAGTTATTTGGAAACAATTTATCTCAATTGTCACAAATCTTTTAACCCATTCAATTATCCTCTGGGTATTCCTGTCCAACACCAATAAGTTTTTTATAAACTATTTGGGGAATACGAGTTCTCACGGGATGATGAGGCAAGACAACATTCGGTTTTTGTTCAACAATTGAGTCGTACGGAGAAATTGAGTCATTAAAAGTTCGCACGGTCCAATTATCCGAATTTTCGAGAAATTTGCGCTTGACGTGGGGGAGGGCGCAGATTACTACTATTGGGTGGAGCATCAGGTCTCATTAATTATCAGCCATCTCTCAATTTTCCTCATCCTGAAAAATCAACATGAGAAAAAAAAATGTCGATTCAATCTGGAACGTCCCATCGACCTGAAAAAATTATTTCTTATTATTTAATTACTCCATAAAATCATTTCTATCCACGTCAATCCAATCAATCAAAATAAAAATAAAAGACGTAATTACTATCAAAATATATTGACAACATTTGAAGTAAACACGATCGCTTCGCACTTCGACGCGAGTAAATTCCCTCCGAGAAGGAATAATTTCCCTAATTACAGCGATAACGGTGGAAGGAGTTGGAAATGGTGACTAAAAAAAAATATGAAAAATGTTAAAGACATTTTAATTGGTGATCGATCAGTGGAATGATTGGTAGGCGGAAACACAGCCGTTGGATGGCTAACGAAGCGCGTAACGTGCGAGCATTAATTATCAGTGGGGTGAGAGGACAAGACAACTAGTAGTAGATAGTAGCTCGTTGAATACCCGCGGTCCCTGGGAATATACCATCACCCCAGAGGGCTCTTTCCGAGTCCTCACGATTTTCTATAAAAAATATTTATGCAAAAAATTCGCTGTTCCTCCAATTTCGGTTAAAAAAAAAACCACAAATTTTTTGAAAACCCCCAGGAACTCACATCCCTGGCCAAATTAATCGGGGGCTAAAAGGGGGTCGAAGGGGGGATGCACTGACAAACGGTTCAGCAAAAACCGTCTTCCGGGACGACTACAGAAGAGATGCTGCATATAAACGGACAAGATGGACCGGTCCCTTTGCGAATATAACGTGTATTATATAGAAGTCTGGAATTACGATGAGGCTTTATACGGTGCGAGACATGCCAGATAATACGACCGGATAGAGATAAGCCCTTCCGGCATGCTACACCAACCGGTATTAACATATGATTTACGATATCATCACCAATAAACCTGAGATTCACTCCTATCCATCGAAAATATTCCCCCAATTTTTCCTAGACCTCGAGAAAAAAATCTTCCAAATTGATTTGCTTCCCTGCAAGTTGCTCGAACGACACAATAAATTAACAAATAAACACACATGAATAAATAAATAAATACATGAATTGCAGTATCTGTCCCACTCGATCATAAAACGCGATAAAATTATCGCGAGCAAAAGGACATGATAAGGTCCGAAAAAAATGGGGAATCCGCGTATGAGACGATAAATTGGTAAAATCGATAGTGAAGAATGCAAAAAGAAGAATGCATGTGGATCATGGGTAGCGATTCCCACGAAAGGTAGATGTACCTGAAACCTCGCTGGGGGGCTGATACACCCATCGAGAAATGGTTAAATAAACGGTTGCAAACGAAAGCGAATGATGCCTGAGGGCTAGGCCATGGCCCCGCTGTTCATCGAAAGCACGCGAACCCCAAAGATGATTACTTGGATCTCTGTATGCCACCTATAACTACCCGGGCATCTAGAGTCGCCTGAGGCCCTCTTTTCTCTCATTCCCCTTTTTTTTTACCCTCCATATCTCCCCTGAAGATGTTTTATTCTCATTTTCCCCGTGTTATGTTGCCTTTTACCCGTTCAACTGCTGCACACTTTCATTATGTGGCTCAGGTACTCGTTTATTTGTTCATACGACCTTGCGTGCCGGTGGTGTCTGTAAGGCACCTCGTTCCTCAACTTCGCACCACGTGGCTCAAATGCACGGCATTATTTTTTTTTTTCTGTCTACGCGGGGCTGGGGAAATCATCCAAGTGTTGAAGGCAATTACACGGGTTTCAGGTGGAATATCTTTCACCATTTTTCGGGATTCAACGAGTTGATGAGTAATTTCTCTCGTGAGCTTTAATGAGGGTGTCGTTGGACTTGTGGTCAGGGTGTGCTGGTTGGATATTTTTTTAATCTGGGATATTGTGCTTGAATTCAATTTTCATCGCAATTTCTCATTTTGCGTCGATGCAATGGGGTGCTCCTGGTGGAAAATCCCTTGGAGTAAAATTCTAGATACTCACCCGAAACAATTTTCAAGTCAACAAGACGAGATAATCCGGTTTCTCACGATTTACGCACCGGTAATCCCCGGGTTTCAGGTTTGATTCCCGTTGAAAGCCTCTCTGAATTCTTCTTCTAATTAATCCCTCAGAATCCTCCCAAATGCATTCTATGTCTCATAAAGAAAAACGTTAGAGAGACTAACGGATCGCTACAGGTGTCACTCGACACACGAAAATCACTTATTTAATCCAGAAAAAATCTCTCAACTCAAAATTTAATTATATGACGTCCACAATTTATTCTCGAACTCCACACAAATTTCCTGTGGTAAAAGCTACCAGGATCTACAACAAAAAATGTTGAAAAAAAAAAATAGAATACCACCGATAACTGGTAGATAGTGGTACGGGAAAAAGGGGCTTAAGTCGAGCACAAGAGGTGCCCCCAAGAAACATTTCTACTTTCGAATGCCTCTGACGTATGCCCCCCTGACGTGCTCGTTTTTTTTTATTTCTCTCCACCTCTTGTTTCGGTATTTTTTTCCTGCCTTTCGTCTGTACTCCACTCGTTCCATCCATTCGGGGTCAATGGCAACGTCTTGGGGATACAGTACTGAAAACCCAAGGAGAAGGCATAGACACAAAGGCGAGTCACAAAAGTTTATTGCGTATTTCATGGCCCATATGGAGAGATGAATATTATTTTTATCCGGACTTTTATGGTAAATAATAAATACGGGTACCATGAATAACCACTCCCCGGGTGAAAAAAGGAGAGTGACATTTATTTTAGGTGAACGCTTCGTTCTGCGTCTTTTTTTTCCCAATCGAGACGATTGCTCATTTTAATAAATAACTATTAATCAATCAGACTCATAAAATAGTGTAATTCAATCATTTTTTTTTTTTATACTAGTGCTTTTTATTCTGAGGGGCAGTCTTTTAATTTTTTTTAGGTCCTCTGTTTCGTTCCCCATAGATACCGTATAATCATCACGTACTTTTTGCCGGGGGATGTATACGTGAGTGCACGCAGCATTCGGCGAATGTCTTAGAAAATGAGGGGAGAAATTGCGAGAGGGCACCCCCTGGGGTGGGGCCCACCTCCATCGAGGGCCCAGTCATTTCCAGGCTCGCGTGATTTCCTGTCATCCACTGGTTGACATTTCCGGAAATTCCAGTCAATATCCCTGAATTTTCAATTATGGGTGGTTAAATTTTTTTGATTTTTGAAATTTTGTTGTTGATAATGGAAAAGTACTTTGTTCGTGGGGATTTTTTCGATTGATTGATTTGATTTCTTTGGGATTATTATTTCTCGTTGGGGTTTTGGTGGTGGAATTTTTTTTATATTTAAAATGGACTGCCGAGTCACGCCCGTTGTATACCCGGACTTGGGGCAAGCCTGGCACATACCGATGTAAACGCTGGATCCGCGTTGAATGATAATTTTCTCGGGTCGACTAGGGAATTAACATTTCATAGGAGTTATTTTTTAGGGAGAAAGGGAAATGGCTTTCTACGGAGTGAAAAAATTCTCGAGAAAACATCAGGAATCTTCCCCTATTCATTTTTCACATCACATATTATTGTTTTAATTGAAATCTTTAACAAATTCCAAAAGTTTCTCTGACAGTAAAGGGAATAGTAATTTCCCCAACACTGTCTGAGTGCGTGATGCCAGTGATTCCACCTCCTCGAGAAAAATCAACGAGAATAAAAGGAAGTAAAAAGAAAATCATCCAATTTGAAACGTGAATGATCCCCAGGAGTAGAACTCCTTCCCCTACTCGTAAACGAGGTGAATCCAACGAGAGCGCGAAATGACGGCTAATTACACGGCGTGAGCGTTTGATGTTGAATTTTTTTTTTTATAAAAAATTGTGGCAGCTCTCCGCTATTTTTCAGTGAATCTGGTCTGAAAGCAGAGATTGACCCCCGACACGCACGGCATTTCTGCATTTTTCCTCTCCCCCGTATTTCTTTGTTCCGTCGGTGCCTTTTTTATATCACTCGTTTCCTTTTCTTTCTACTGACCACATCGACTTATACACACGTGTTTATTTTCAAAAGAAGTATTACAATTTTTCAACAACTACCAATTTTTTCAAATAACATTACACATATTTTCAATATTTATTTATTCTTCGAATGCATACAGTGAATATAATATATTATATATATTATATGATGCATCAGCAAAATAATTGAGTGCAATTTTTTTTCTGCCGTTGGATTGTGGGTTGACGTTGATGATAAAATTTGATGAAAATGAGAATGAAGTGAAAAATGAAATAATTTAAAGGGGAGGTGGGGGTGTATGGGGTTCTGGGCACGTACGGTGAGGGCGTCGCCCGTAGCTCTGTCAGTGGTGCATGTCCTCGTGGAGCTGGTGGAGCTGGTGGAGCTGGTGGCAAGGGGGACCCCAGGCCAGAGGGGAAAACAAATGGACGTCACGGACGCCTGGCTCCAGTGGGAACAGGAAACCACCGATTTCAATCTCGGGTACCAGACCGACTTTCGTGCATGTACGTTCAGCCTCGGTGCACCAATGCGTACAGAAATCAATGCACGTTTTCATCTTGATGGAAACTTTTTTTTTTGGCATTTATCGCATTTTTCCGATGAGCCTCACGCTCACGATCCATTTCATCCCATTTTTCGCCATCCATCCCCGTATTTTCAAAAGTTCATTAATTTATTCGAAAAAATATCTGTTATTTATTAATTAATATCACGTTTTGTTGGACAAAAAATCTTTTCTCAGAGGAAAAAATTATTGTAAATTCAGAGAAATTTCGAGGATTCATTTGAACTCCGGTTGTGAATAATAAACAATAAATAATGTTGTTTCAGAGTTCAAATCTGGGTCAAGAGTTACTGGACCGTGTCTTCCGGCATCTAAATCTCCTGGAGACGGCGTACTTCGGTCTTCGTTACCTGGACCACGAGAATCAGACAGTAAGAGAAACAATAATAATATGTCTGAGTTTAAAATCGGATTACAAATGAAATGGAAATGGGAATAGCGTGGTGAAAGTAATAGGATAGGAGATACAAATGAAAATTATCGAAAATTTCTCGTTAAATTGAGAATTGCCATGGCCATCCCCCGATTCGGGGCCCAACTAAACTCAAATTGAATTCACCCTTTTCAAATTAATTCTCGAGAAACGTAAATCCTCGCTGGGGCTTATGGAATGCAATCGTTGATAACTCAACGTTTCCCTCACTCGAGTTGGAATTTGACTATCCAATTGATGAGGGGAGCATTCCGGATCATCGTCAAAGTTTTCGACGTAATTTCCGGTCTCCTCCAGCCCATCCAATAACATGCATTCCCTTTATTTATGGTTTATTTGTTCGTTGATTGCTTCACAGCAATGGCTGGACCCGAGTAAAAAAATAGCCAAGCAGTTGAAAGTGAGGAAGGGTGATCCCATGCCCGACACTCATACCCTCTATTTTGGGGTGAAATTCTACGCCGCCGATCCCTGCAAACTCATCGAGGAAATCACGAGGTAAGAATTCCACCCAATTACTCCATCCTCTATTTAATTTACATCCTCATCACGCTCTCATTTTCCTGACGTTAACAATCCCTCATTGAGAAATGAAAAAGCTATTAAAACAATAACTCAGGATTAGTAAAAAATTCATTTAATCACTTGACGGTTCAAACGATCGTCAGCATCTGTCCACAATAGCTTTAATTCGGAGAAAAACAAATCTATTCATGAGCATTCCATTCAACAACCTGTTCATTCGGCATAATAAAATCGTTTAAATAGACTCGACATTCAGTACAAGAATTAAACGACAAAGTTTATCAAACGAAATGGAGCCATTGAATCGAGCGAAACTCGTTAATTCCCTCGAACCCAGAGGCTTTCAACGAGCTACTTTGTTAAAGACAGAAAAATACTGAGAAACCGGGGGAAAAGAGGATTCTAAACTTGTTTAGAGTTTAACAAAGGGGGTGAGAGGAGTAAAGTGGGGGGAGCCAAATTGTATTGAAGAAATTCACCCGACAATTAGTGGAACGCACCAATTACCCACGCCAAGGAGAAGGGGTAAATTATAGAGTAGCCGTCATTTCATGTTGGATGCTCGAAATCACATCGCTTCCAGGTTCTCCTTCCGATTGGTGATCCCTGGTGAATTATCCCTGGGACTCCCGGCTTGTGCCCGGGGGGCATCCCCTGACAACACTCAAATTGCAGAGTCTCGTCTCATTTTTTTTACATTCATTATTTTCACTTTTTTTTTTCACCCTCTGGGTGCTCTTCCAGGTATCAATTCTTCCTGCAAGTCAAACAGGACATTGTTCAGGGGAGACTTCCAGTTTCATTCGATTTGGCTGCGGAACTTGGCGCTTATGTTGTACAGTGTGAGTACACTATCTATTTTACATCAAGTCAATTATTTATTCTCAATGAAATTTCGGGATGCGCAGGGAAAAATGACTCTTAGGGGAAATCCCTCCATTTTATTTGAATTTATTTTCTCAACTCCCAGACACCTCAAACAAATTCCCACGATGTCTCCGGAAAACATCATTAGTCCCCCCTCAAAAAACAATTATCAAAGTCTGGAAGAAATACTTGAAACCCATACAAACGCACAAAAGATGCGACGAATGCATTAACTCAGGGGAAAATCTTGACGCCCGACACAATTGTCTCTGATCCCCTGAAAACGACTTTCCCGCGCTTTCTCATGCCCATCCTCACTCCCCCACGACATGAATCTTACAAAAGTAATGTGAAAAAAAAAATTACACGGTGAAAAAAAATTTGTGAGAGATGTAAAAGATGAAAAGAGGAGAGAAGGCAGAAGACATTTGAATTTTCCGCAGTTATCAACCGCGAGATTCAAAGTTACGGGCAAATAGAGATATGTGTGGCAAATGTTTGCCGTCTCCTGGTGCATCAAAAGATAGAAGGAATGAATGTTGGTCGTTTATGTGCTCCGGGTGAAACAGAGGAAAATAGGAGCCAAGGGGTCTTCCCGTGGATCTTTTTGACCAAATGAAAGGGAAAGAAAAATAAGAGTAACATAAACCACCAACGGAGATACTCTCAGCACCGAGATTCTGCGGTTTGACCGTTGTAATATGTGAAATAACTCATGAGATTGAAGGATGCACTCTTATGAATTAACCAACCCCCGTCTATTCAACCTTATCTCCAGCCACTCATTTCTTCCCCATATTTTATTTATTAATCTTATCTGACCTCACTTAAATGATCATTATTCCCTAAGTTCAGTCCCTACCTGTACCCCTACCCTTCCCATTCGACCTTCCATTATCCCCAGTCTTACGGAGATTAATTGAACTACTTTGATTCTATTTGAGATAATAGTCTGCAGAAATAATGAAAGTGATCGTTTACATTTTTCACGCGCTCATCCTCCCTTTGCTTTCCAATTTTAATTGTACAATTTTTCATGATTGAATGACAAATTCTGAGAATATAATTGAAATTGAGAGCCAGTGATACTCTCAATTCATTCCGATCTAACACAATTCTCCACCGGTATGTATTTCACAAGAACTTGGCATTCAACCCTCGTTGAATAAACTCACCTCGTCGTGATAATTTATGCAAGTAAATAGAAACGAGTGAGATGAGATGACAAGTGCACTCGTAGAACGATGACAATTTTAATGATGTACTCGGAAAATGAAAAATTCCCATTAAACCTTCAACTTCATTTAGACATCTTATGCGATTACACGTAGTTAAATTTCCACGATGTTAAATATGACGTTATAAAAGATTCTAGCTGTTGCGGAACAGACCATTAGTGGCGATATTTCGAGCATAAACCGGAGTGCCTTGAGGGGGGCTGTAAATATAAAACCATTGGCCAACACACCAGACATCCATCAATGTCAGGTCATTTAATTACAAACAAAGTGCAGCATTATTGTCTGAATGATGCGTCTGTCATGTCTTCAGTGTAGCCAGTGGTTGAAGCCCTCTAGACCCATTGGTAACGTAATATCCCATTGGTTTGCTCGTGGTTTTTCCAAGTCGTTAAAGAGCGGCTCCAGTTACACTCCAGGCTAATCGATCTGTGGTCTTCCTTGTTACTCGAGATGTGTAATTCCTCGGCATTTCTTATTTTCCACATTTTATTTCCTCTTCATATTCTCTAATGAACGTGTCCTGTGACCAGTCCTCCGTTAATCGTTTGCTAAGTCTTTTTAAGCGTGACGAGAAAACCGGAAAACATCTTCTTCATTCATACTCGTAAGTCACTTTATTATTTCACTTTAGTTCAGTTTTATTTTCTCGAGAAAAAATCACGTCGTGGGGAGAAATTCTTTTCAGGTGTTCTCCGAAAATATTTCAGCTACTCGGAATTCCATTTTTCATTGCGTCTTGTATTATTCACGGTAATCTCTAGAATTATTTCATTTTCTTAGAAAATACAATGGAATAATGTTATTGAAAAATTCATTGGGCGCAAATGAATTTAGTAATGGAATAGAATTTTATCAAATTGATTATATTTTCTCCAGCGGAACTCGGTGATTACGATCCCAGGAGGCATTCCCTCGGATACGTCACGGAATTTAGATTTCTGGCCAATCAAACAGCGGAACTTGAGGCCAGAATCGTTGAGCTCCATAAAACACTTGTGTAAGTCTCATTACACTATCGTGCAAATGAGCCCACAATTTTTTTCTACTTTTGCATGATTTTTATTCTCTTTCCAGGGGTCAACTCCCCTCCGCTGCGGAGCTCAATTACTTAGATAAAGTTAAATGGCTGGAAATGTACGGAGTTGATTTGCATCCAGTATTGGTAAATATTTACGCTTGAAGTCTGATAACTTTTTTCCTTTTTCCTTTTTCCACATTTGCGCATTTTTTTTTTTTTCAACGCTCAATACTTTCAGGGGGAAGATAACGTCGAGTATTTTCTCGGCCTCACACCCAGCGGAATTATCCTTCTCCGGAATAAAACTAAAGTGGGAAATTATTACTGGCCACGGATCAATAAAATATACTATAAGGTGAGCTCCAGGAAGAACTTGAGGCTTTGATATTTCAAAACTCATCTCCAGTTCCTCACAACCTGGCCAATTATAACTTCATAGTTTCCTAAATACTTGGAATTTCGTAATTTTAATGAACCTCCAAACTTCATAACTCGCATATAAAGTCATCCAGGATTCACCTAAATTTTATATAAATTATTGTACGTCATTTCAACGATCTGACATGTTCATTCTTTACTTACAATTCTGTACAATCGGTGAAATTGTCCAGGGTCGTTACTTCATGCTCCGAGTGAGTGAAAAGAATTCGGAGGAGCGAACCCATGGATTCGAGACACCATCGAGAGGTGCCTGTCGTCACTTATGGAAATGCTGCCAAGAGCATCAGTCTTTCTTCAGGCTGATGGCGACAGGTCCACCACCACTGAGTCCGTACTCTCGTTTCCGCTCTTACAGTCCACCGACCTCTGAAAAACATCAGGGCTCAATTCGTCGTAATCCACCACCAGCATTTCAACGTGCACCGAGTCGTCGGGCCCAGAGGCGTGTTGTTGAGGGCCAGGAGATGGTTGGACCGTTTGTTGAAACTCCAGCAATCGATCGTAACATTACGATCAACTCGAGTAACTGCAGTGCCTCGAGGCACGTTAATAATTCCAGCCCAAGAAGCACTAGGAGTGCACCGTGGACACAGAGTCAACCTCGTGGACTTTATACGTCATCGAGTCCACGTTCCGTCAGATCGGCAGGCACTGCACCTGCTGTAAGTTCAATACTTCCATCATCACTTATTTTATATCACCATATACAACTTTACTGGCCCTTTTTCTAACCATTTCGCAGCGATTTTATTTCGCCTTTTACGATAATTTAATGGGATAATATCCCATTCCTTTTTCTTATCATTTCTCTCGCTGTCGAGAACCTGAAGAGAGACGAGGAGAACGATCAAAACAAGTCAATTACTCGCAGTCTGTTAGTCATGTCACGCATGTATTTCAATTCCCATCGATTTTTTTTATATTGAAAATTTTATTTTCTTTACTGGGAATAAATGTGAATAATTATGGATTCCTCAGCTACTGAGTCGCCTTCAACGGAGAAGTTCCTCGGTGGAGAGCCAGAGCTCTGGTGACAGTCACAGTCGAAGTGGCCACAGAAGAAGAAGCCACAGCCACAGTCACAGAAGACACAGTCGCCACTCGGATTGCGAATCGGAAATGTCTAGAGGCTCTGACAGTAGATCCGGTCACAGAAAACACCGGAGAAAACACCGAAGCTCTAGGAATTCACGGTACATACTACATCCATCCGGAAAATGAAACTATGAATAATAAATTTATTGTTCCTTGGACAATTTTCATTTCCGATTGACTTGGAAATAAGAAGCCAAATTTGGTGGAAAAAAATTCAATGCATAGAATATCCTCGACCAATTTTCTTGCACCCCCTTTTATTATTATTTTTTATGTCTCGCAGACACGAATTGGTGGACTCGGAGCCACAATGGAGAGAGGCCCAGAGGAGAAAAGGAGAAGGAGTTCAAAGAGCCGTGGCAAGCATTTCTACTCTCTGAATTACTGGCAATTTCTCTATTGACTTGGCAAGACCACTTAATCAATATTGCAAATGTCTTGAAAAAATCGTTAATAAAATTCAATATTTCTTAATGTCAAGTCAAGAGTAGTTTTCGCCGGTTTAATATATATTCGTAATTCGTTTTAATTATTTTCAAAATTATCTTTGTCTAGGTCAGTCACACAGAGCCCAGGAGACGACACAGAAGTAGACACCGGTCCCCATCTCAAAAATTGCCAGACGAGCTTAGAAAGTGAGTCCTACAAAAATTCCAAAAATTCCCCCCGAAAAATCAATGGAGAGTAAACAGGAAAAATAATATTTTTCAATGATTTCCAGACACTTAGAGTTTAGTTTAATCGACACTTCAGGAATGAGTGAGCAACAGCGTCGTGAGATATCCTACAAAGTGGTGCAAACTCAGGGGCTCACTCAGGTGCACCAGCAGTCGGTGAATCCTCGTCTGAATGGCGTAGATGCCTCGTTACCACCTAGGTACGATGATCTCAAGAAGACATCAGCCCACTACAATCCTCCTCCCATGGAGGATGAGACGGGATCTGTAGTCATTGTTTGAAAAAAAAAAAAAATGGAAGAGAAAAACTGAAAAGAATGAAACCCCCTCCACTATGCATGATTAGTTCAGGAAATTGTGGGGCAAAATGGACTTGAGATATTTTCACTCACGATATTTATATTTATTAACAGATAAATAAATCGAACTGTACTTTACAAAATAGTCCCATTTCGTGGGAGTCATTCGTCGGTTTCCATGAGACTTGAATATTTTTTTGGACAAAAAAAAATTCAGAAGGTTGGATTTTGCCCTCTCAACTCCTACTCGTTTGATTATTTTGAATTAATTTATTTGAAGCATGTACAGCTGAAGGAGTTTGAGCATGCCCTTTATTTATTCGTTCGAAGCATGATTTACAGTAATAAATCACTTATTAACAGCCTGTCGCACTGTTTATTTATTTCCCGTGCATCAGCACCAATTGTCTGGCTTTGTTTTCGTTGAAAAAAAAAAAGAAGCTATTGAGGGGGCCAGATTGAAGACAACAAGAGATTAACGCTTTCAGACCGATTTCGACGATCGACAGGCGAGAGAGACGAGTGCGTCACAGTCGAGAGGGAATTTACGAGGCAACATCGATAAGGTCCAGTCGATATGAACCAAAGTATCCGGATGTTAGGTACGATTATGAGAGGAGAGATTGTGACACGAGTGCACGAAATAGCCGAGTACTCGTGGGAAGTAATGCTGACAGTGGACTTGGGGAGAGCACACCCCAGGATTTCTCCAGCTGCTGTTCCAGCTCAGCCGACAGCACGAGGGCACTACGAGTGGTAGGTTCTGGATAATAATTTTTTTGTTTTTTAACTTGTGTGAACGCCTCTGCTTCAGCCATTGCTTCACGTACCCCGTTTTCAAGGATAAAGGGATATTCCAGTAATGTGATTTCGTTTTATTGGTTGATAAAGCTACTAATGGAGTACTGTAGTTGTTTATTTAAATTTGGTGTAGACGCAAATGCCACTATTGGGAGATGGGCGCTATGATCTGCCTTCGAATCAAGAAAATTCGTCTGTTGATGCTACTCTGGATGCAGTACTTCAGCCAATTATCTCGTAAGTCGTTCCCCGCGTGCCGTCCATCCCCACATCAATTCTCACTTGCAAATTATTCCCCTAAATGAATTATGCCCCAGTCTAAATTCGAATAAAATGCTTAATGGTTCCAGAACATTAACGCGAAGATCTAGGAGCCACCCCAAATGAAGAACTCGGAAATCATCACCAGGGAGTCAATGTTTTTTTACACTTAATAAATGTTTAACTCTGTATTTCAATAAAAAATGATAATCGTACTAGTCACAGGATCTCTTGATGAATGAGGAAAAAAATGATGACTTGTAGTCAACCGAATTGTTTGAATGTTTTTTATTAAAAATATATTATACCTAAGTCTCATTGGATATTTAATTATCCTTGGACGCCATGTGCCTCATCAGGTTCCCGATGAATTTTTCCATTTTCTTAAGGTCTTGGGCTATTTCTGTTTTGTACTGCAAACACTGCATCCAAACAACGAAAAAACAACAGGCCTTAATTACAAAATAATTATTGCATTACAACTTACATATACACCTGAGCACCTCAACTGAATAAATACGAGGATTTATTTAAAAAAAAAAATAATCACATACTGTTCGATTGTCAGTCAATTTGAGGCACAACACTCCCTTGTTGTGACAGTACTTCATAGAATAACGAGCCTGTAATTTCACAAAACGAATAATTAATCGATTAATCCGATTGGCGTCCATGGAGCTCAAAAATTCCACCGTTTAATTAATGAATTTTTGATTATTTGGGACAGGTGATTTTTGTGGAGTACCTTTGCTGGATCCTGGAGATATAACCGCTCTGCTCCTTTCTCGAACTCCTCCCAGGAGCTCATGTACGTCATCCTTGGAAAATTCGATCTTCTCGTTGAAATAAAATCCAATTTCTCCCCTCGAAAACGTCCGAAAGCACTTAGATTGTACTTTCAATAATGTTTATTCCATGCAACTACAACTGACAGATTATTGTTGGTGAGTCTCGCCATTTGTGCTCACGTGGAGAGTTTTTACAGAGATTGGAAGAGAGATCAGCGGCGCTTACAGCAAAGAAAAAATGGAGATATTTATAACGGCGGCTACGGAACTAAAGAGAGGTTCAGTTCTACGGGTTTGAGTGACCTCAGCGGCATCGTAGTACTGCACCCCAGGAGAGGGAGGGCGCAACACGCAATGTTGGGGTGTTTTTTTTTTATTAACCAAGTTTTTATTGCAATGCTGGGGTGTCCATCAAGTCGACGGGGTGAATTTTATTTTCTGCTGTACGAATACTTTTTGTTTTTCATTTGTTTAACTGAAATTTAGCCGACTG